ACTGTGTGTTGTGCGCCTTTTGTTTTTATTTTCCTGTTACTGGTTTGCTTGCCGTTTTCCTTTTCGTTTTTTTTTGCACTCTTAATTGCATTTTGTGTTACAATTTCATTTTGTAAGCGTTGTCACAATAGTTGTTGCCCTCGTTTATTGGCTTTGCTGCTCTTTTTGATTGTTTTTTGTCACCGACGGGACGTGACCTTTGTCAACACAGCTGCCTATTCATTAATAAATTACTACGAATTGATTGACAACATGCACAGATTTTTCTCACTCGACTACTAATGGCCATATGACACTTGATTTAATTTTGAATTTATTTGAAAAAGTTCAGTAACCGTAAATGAACTAAATGTTTCAAGGGTATAAATCGTTTTTAATGTCTTCCATGTCTTGTTTAAATATATAAAGTTTCTCGAAATCATTCCTAGTGTCATATGGCCATAACTATTAAATAAACTATAATATTTGGATGGCTGTACATTGTACAAACGTCTCTTTCAAACAGTTTCGATCTGTTAACATTATGCAGCTATCTCCGCTTCACATCGCTTCCGCCTCGTGTTTGAGAACTTCTTGTAAAAGCTGACACAGATTTTCATCAAATTAATTGCTGTGCGCTTTTTTGAGTGCGCGCCACACACTCAACAAGCGTGCTAAGTGTTTTGGGGCACAAGTTCAGTTGAAACGCGCTTACAAGCTCATCTACAGTGCCTGCTGAGAAATTGTACAAATATTACCTATTTCTTTGAGCTAGCCCATTTACAATAGTGTTTCAGAGGAACTAGATATCAAATGATATTTATGTTCCTATAGAGAAGGTAATTTCCTTAAAAATCTCAAGAAGTTTGATAGGTTTCTCTTGATTTTTTTGAAACGGTTATTTAAGGTTATTAAGTTATTCTTATCTTTATAATGTTTCAATATTTAAAAGATTTTTAAATTTAAAAAAATAAAGATGTTTTGAAATAAATTTTTTTTTAGTTTGTTTTAAAATTTATTTTTAAATGATACTAATTTTAGAAATGAACTTGGCATATTTATTACATTTTTATTATTAAATTACCGCAAGATTAAAAATACTTTGGGATTTAAAAAAATTGAATCATTTGTACATCGGTTTCAAAAATTCTTTAATTTAAAATATGTTTCGCAAAAGTTATAGCACGAGCACTCGTAAATCGGCATCATAAAAAGAAAAGTTGTTCGAAATTAAAACCACCAGAAAAAACCGAAAAGTTTTGTAAATTCCCGAGCAACTACTGTACATAGAGAGGCCTGCCACGCCCCTCGCTGCCCCGCCCACCTCCAAGCGCCTTATCAGTGGCAATAAACACAGCGCAGCTTGAAAAGCTTTCAGCGGGCGCCACATCATGCTCATCAGCACCACCCACTCCTTTTGGCCCCTTGTAAAAAATGTTAGCTTCCGCTTTGTGGCCCCGTTCAAGATGGAAAATATAAAAAGAAGAGAAGGGACGGGCAGCACTGGAATATTTCAATTTATGGCAGTTTGACACTTTTTCAATGTTACGTGCTGTGAATTTTTGCGCACTGCTGAGCTCGCGCCGCGCGCTCTATTTTAATTAAAATCCCGGAAAATTAAATTACGACAAAAAAATTTGTGCTGGCGCAGTGCAGTATAAAAGGCAAAGGCAAAACTTGAAGCATTGAATCTCTATCATGAGAGCCACCCACGAATGGAAAATCTGAGAGACAGACAGAAATCAGCGCTCAAGTTCAGAGAAGCCGGCAACAATTGAAGTCGATTGTCGTACATAAATCATCAATTGCTGTCGGCACTGCGACTCAACATTGAGTCGAGAGTTTCCCGCAAATTACTGCTGAGAACTGTGGAACTTCAATAACTTCTCTGCTATTCTCAGTCAGCAATAAGTATTGTTTATTGTTTTTAGGAGAAGGAGGCTAAGGGAAAACGAACTTTATCGTTTAGGAACTTTTCAATATTAATTTTTATTAAATCAACAAGACTGTTAGCCAAAAGGGGGAGCCAGAATTTTGATGTGGGGGGATTTTAGACAAAAAATTTGTCTGAAATATTTATTTTCTTTATGATTTCTTTATTAGAGAATGCAATTATTTTGTGACAAAGATTAATTCGTTTATTGCATGTCACACAAAGTGAGAAACTACTGTGATTGCGTTGTTGCTCTGCTCTTCTTGATTTTCCCAGCTTCACTTACTTTGAATAGAACATTGTAATTAAGTTATAATGTAGATTGTGGTTATCAGATGGTAATTCAATTATTTCTTGAGCAAAGATAACGGGTGAAGTGTTATTATCTGTGATTAATTCTCATTGGAATTTCACTTTTATTTTTTGCCACCCCTTCTGTAAATTATGAAAAATATATAATTGTTTACTTTCGTTGCTGTTTTCAGCAGTTAAACTGATTACCTGTCAATTAGCAGTTCACAAAGCGTGACTTCGACAGCCACCGCTCATCCCAACAAAATATCCATCCATTGCGATTCGAATAATATGTGTGCGGGGCCTTAATTGAATTTCAACATTTTACCAGACCAATTATGCTCTTTTCAAGCAGAACTCTGAAATTGTAAAATGTATTCATTTGACATAATTGTAATTGAATTGTCTATAGTGGATGGAATATGCATGCAAATGGTTGGCGGCAAACATAAACAACCGTGAAACAGAGCTGTTTCAATTTGATTAATTTAAATGCGACAAAAGCAGACCGAATCGAAGCGAAAGACCTTTTGACAGATGGTTTTTTTATACCTTGTCATGATGTAATAGTTATTCTAAACTTTTTTTTTAGGTCAGCTATTGGAAACACGTAATAAATTGTGCAAGTTTTTTATCCTTCGTTTCCATTTATCAAATAAAGTTTTCAGGGCATTGAAAGCATCATGAGATGGCATTTCAATTTTTTTCTGGAAATCTGTGCTGAATTATTAATAATTTTAAGAGCACTCGCATTTCGGAGCGTGGTTTTTAATATGACCTTTTACCCGAACGCGCCTGGATAATTATAAAAAAAAAAAATTGGAATTTATATTTCACATTTCCTTGTTATCAAATTTATTATTGATGGCCTGACATGGCTGAAAGGGCTCTCCAGTGAGCGCCACTGAAGTTTGCCTCTTTTGGGGTCTTGCACATGCAACTGCATATTTAAGCAGAGTGTTGTGCCTCTCAACCCACCCACCACCCACTTTTGCATCTCCATTTGGCCCCCAGGCAGCCTTGCCAAGTGTGCGTGTGTTGGATAGATGGTGGGAAACTGGTTTCTGTTTTTCCGACTACGATCTCCCAGACCCGTAGTCTTGTCTAGTTTGCCGCTCAACGAGGTTGACGTCGCATGCCTTATGAATGATTCAAAGGCACGTTATGTGCGCAAAAAATGGAAGATGCAAAAACTGAAATGAATCGACCATCGAAGTTTGAAATACTCTAAAAAACGGGTGAACTTTAACTTTTTCTTGAAATTAATTCAAACAAATTTTCAGCTACAAATTTAATCAAGAAGTAACAAATTTTTCGAGAATTGTGTTGAAATAAATAAATTAATAAAAATGCATTTGAAAAAACAAATTTATGTATATATTTCTTATAGGGAGTATGGTCCTTCAAATATTATTAAAACCTTAATAAGCACATTATTAAATGTTAAACCTGTTTTTAAGACCTTTGCATTAGCAAATTTAAATAATTTATTTTTAACTTTTTAAATAAACAAAAAATTCTGATAGAAAGTAAAACCAAACAGTTAAATAATACGCAAATTTTAAATATTGATTGAATGTTTATGCCATTTTTATTGTTATCGAATTACCTGTCCCAGTTATTATAAGTTTATATAAAATAGGGAATAACATTAATAACAGTGATAAATTCCAGTTTAAAGTTAGTAATACCCCTTGAGAGGGTATGATTGGAGTCAGAAAAGCCCCGTCAGAATACCGTTAAGAGTTGTTGCGCTTTTGGCTAGTACTGCCTCTCCTTCTCTCCCTCTCTGTCACTCCTAGCTCTCTCTCCCTCCCTCTGACAGCTTGTTTGGCGCGAGTTGTTGGTGGAACTGATGCTGCTTGTCTTGCCGTTGTTTTTTCTCTGCGACTATGACCTTTGTCAATGGAATTTTTGGCCAAAACGGCATTTGAAGAAAGAAAAAAAACCACACAGATTTTTTCTCCTCTTTCGGCTGATACTTGCCTTTGGCATTTGGTGTGCAAAGCGCTAGAGATTCCGCGGTGGGATAGACAGAAAAAGTCAAGATTCAAGCCGGAAAAAAGGTATTGAAAGTTAAGCTTTGATACGATTTATCGATGCAGAGGTTTCGCTATTTGCATGCAAAATGTTTGCGTTACTTTCTCAAACAACAAGAGGACCAAAACAAAAATATCAATAAAAATCAAATTTATTAAGCTGCTTGCTTCAGTTCATATTCTATTTCCTGTTTGGCATTCACAAATATTGCATTTGAAAAGCCAAGGGAAACCCTTGCCTTAACTTTGCTTTTGTAGTCAAAGAAAATAACATATATTTTATATATTTTCTTCATACTTTAATCAAGCAAAATTAAAATTTATTTTGAAAAAAAATCGTTAACAAGCTAATGTTAGCTTTTTCCCAGGTTGACGTAAATTAATATGACTTATCTTAAATCTACCAAGAGTAATATTGACTCACATTAATTGATAACCCAGAGATAACTGGAATGATAATGATTATAATCATTATGGGATGATGATTAATTACTTATATCGACCCTAATTGCAAACACATGCGTATAACTCAATTGGGAAGAAATAGCTCTACAAATAACGGAAAATAAATTGTGCTCAATTATCTGTTTATCTATTTGGTAACAAAAAGTGTTTATTTGATTATTGGGGTATAAAAATAAATCACGGCAGCGATATGAAATCATAACTTTCATTTATTTTTTGTTCACCGCTATCCATTACAGCAAAACGATTTATCATGATGCTTATTGTTTTCTTTTTTCCTTTCCTTGCAGTTTAATAATAACGAAGGTCGCATTTTTCAAAACCGGAGGGAACTGTTGGAGCAAAAATATCTAGAAGTGGTCCGGGAATGAGTTTTCCGAGGCGAAACTGGACCTGGAAATCGTCGCCCAAGGACTGGTGATCTTTTCTGAAGGGATATGCGGCAATAGAAACTCTAAGCCAAAAGGAGTCAAAGGTCAAACCGAAAAGGGCTAGCATGAGCGAGAGTGCAAGGGAGGCGGCACACAGACAGACAGCTAGAGAGAGGGAGACGAGACGAGTCGAGGAGCTCCCATATGTGCCAACAACCGAGTTAATAACATTTCACGCTTGAGGGAGCGATAAAAGTCTGATAACGATTGATAAACCAACAAACAACCACAACACACATAACATAAGAAAACACACACATCAACATATCGTCAACTAAAAAAGAAAACAGGGTACTAACAGTGCTAAACCAAGATATTAGTTCCACATCATCAAATTACAAAATCCCAAATCGCCAAAACAGTTAACCCAGGATAATAGCCTAGGCACGAACGATAGTTAACAGAGATTAGAACAATCATGACTTTCTCGACCTTCACACGCAAAATGCGCGGGCGCATGCGCTCCAATACCTGTCGGATCGTCCTGCTCACCTCGCTCGTCTGGGTGATCTTCGACTTTGTCCTCATCGCCCGCTATTCCGATTGCATTGGCAAGGACGGATGGCGCTGCAAAAGATCCGGGGAGTACGACGTGGAGGTGAGTCTAAATATACTCGTTCAATTAGGGCCACGGGCTTTATGACACTTTTGTAAGTGTCATAACGCCCACTCATAAAGTGTCACTGTGCCCGCGGGCTTTATGCCACACACATAAACATTTCTTTCTTAAGTTTAGCCCTTGAAAATGCCCAAAAAGTATTCTTTTTATAGAATATTTGCCTTTAAATCTAGAAAATTTCAATATTTTCTATTTTACTAAATTCAAGAAAAAATACTGTCCATTTCCAAAGGCTGGCAATTTTTCTGAATTTAAAAAAAAATCTTATTCTTATCCCTTAAAATTATACTACCTGTAGTAAAAAGTGTGCAATAATTAATTAACTATTTCTAAATGTAATTTACTTTTATCTTCCGCAATATCTAGCTGCCCAATGCCGAACGCCTGGTGGATGACAATCAGCTGGTAGATGATAATGAGATCAATACGGAGAAATCCATAGATGGCGAATCGGGTGGAGCTCTCATCATGGGCCAGGGCTTTGCGCCTGGCGGCATATCCATGACCTATCCCAGTGTGGTGCTAAAGAAGTGGTTCCTGGCGCCCTCCGTTCAGGAGGCCAAGGGCAAGCCGGGCGAGATGGGCAAGCCGGTGAAAATACCCGCTGACATGAAGGATCTCATGAAGGAGAAGTTCAAGGAGAACCAGTTTAATCTGTTGGCCAGTGACATGATCTCGTTGAATCGCTCGCTGACTGATGTGCGGCATGAAGGGTAAGAGAGGCCTAACATGGTTTCAACTGGTTTTCAATCCGGATTTCTATCCCCCTTTGCAGTTGCCGTCGCAAACATTATGCCTCTAAGCTGCCCACCACTTCCATTGTGATAGTTTTCCATAACGAGGCCTGGACAACCCTGCTGCGTACCGTTTGGAGTGTTATCAATCGGTCACCGCGTGCCCTGCTCAAGGAGATCATTCTGGTGGACGATGCCAGCGAAAGGGGTGAGTTGAGGGATTTACAAAGAGTCCTTGAAATAGAGCTTGAAAAAATATCGACAGTTAGCTTTTTCATGAATATATAAAATTTGATTAAAATTATAAAAATTGATTCGATAATATCGATGTTTAAAAGGGAAAACACAAATTAAATCACAAATAAATAAACTTTCAAGATACTTTCAAGGTAGAGCTTAAAAAGTATCGATATTTTCGATATTTTAATAATATGGATTCAAATTTATAAATATTTACAAGGAAAAAAACACAAATTAAATATCGAGAAATAGCAAAAAATACATATTGCAAGATGTTAGTTCTGACTTATCTTCTTTATCTTATTTTACAGACTTCCTGGGCAAACAATTGGAGGAGTATGTGGCCAAGCTGCCGGTGAAGACGTTTGTGCTGCGCACAGAAAAGCGTTCCGGTTTGATTCGGGCTCGTCTGCTGGGAGCCGAGCATGTTAGCGGCGAGGTAATCACCTTCCTGGATGCCCATTGTGAGTGCACCGAAGGTTGGTTGGAGCCGCTGCTGGCGCGGATTGTGCAGAATCGTCGAACGGTTGTTTGCCCCATTATTGATGTGATTTCCGATGAGACATTCGAATACATCACGGCCTCGGATTCCACGTGGGGTGGCTTCAACTGGAAGCTCAACTTCAGATGGTGAGTGAAATGGAAGGAGTAATCCCTATAAAGTAACTCTTTAATCCTCTTTACTATACTACATACAGGTACCGAGTGCCATCGCGAGAAATGGCGCGCCGGAATAACGATAGGACTGCCCCACTGAGGACTCCAACGATGGCCGGTGGGCTGTTCTCCATCGATAAGGATTACTTCTATGAGATTGGCTCCTACGACGAGGGCATGGACATTTGGGGCGGCGAGAATCTGGAGATGTCGTTCCGTGTAAGGCAATATCAAGGCATTTTACAGATGGCTTTTCCCGTATTCTCTTTTTTTTTGTTTTCTTTTCCTTAGCTGCCAAGCCAAGCCGCAAAAGAAAATTCAATTTCAGGCCTTGCCTTAAATTAAGATTTTTTTTTCCTTCTTTTATTTAAACATTATTTAATTTAAGTCTTTAAATTTGAGCTAAAACAACGAAACCAAAATTTATTTCTACTCACGAATACACACCAAATCATTACAAACAATCATCGATGATAACCCGCAGATTTGGCAGTGCGGAGGCATTTTAGAAATAATCCCCTGCTCCCACGTGGGCCACGTGTTCCGTGACAAATCGCCGTACACCTTCCCCGGCGGCGTGGCCAAAATTGTGCTGCACAATGCGGCCCGAGTGGCCGAAGTTTGGCTGGACGAGTGGCGTGATTTCTATTATTCGATGAGCACAGGTTCGCAAAAACAACAACAAAAAACCAACAACAATCAAACAATCAATCAACAAATTAAACAGTCAAATAACATTCCAACCACAAGTCGATTTTAAATTGCGTGCATCTAACTCCTAACTTTAAGAATTACTCGTTATCTATTTGTAATTGGCTTCGAAACGCTAACAGACAGAAAACCAAACAACAAAAAAACACTTTTCGAAAAGGTTCTTCCCCTCCACCCACTAAAACACTAACACACAACATTCAATCAAGCTGATATGTTTTTTCGAGCATAAAACTAATCTATAGCTAATGATTTCGTGTAACCACCTACTATATAAACATAGCTATCCTTAAATATGTCATGTAACTCAGAGAGCTCCCGAATCGATGTACGAACACATCAACCTTCCTCCTTATAACCGCACTGGCATATATCCTAATTAGTACGTTTCGTTTCCTTTTATGATTTCTATAAATGAAATTCTTCTCGATGTTCTTTCTTCAATTCTTCTCAGTTTCTCATGCTCATGCTCTCTCTCATGACTGTTCATCAAATCAAGATCAAGTTCAGCTAACTAAGAAATAATATCATCTTTCCTTAAACTAAACACCAAACGTATCCAGTTGTAATCCAGTTATCTAGTAATAACGAGTTGAAACCCTAAGCTAAACTAACTTGTTGCTTATTAATTATGCTTTAAGTATCTGACCAATTGGTAATTAATATTAATATTTCGTTTATTACCCTAAGTTGTAACTAATATTTAATATTTGGTTGAATTTTTTTTTGTTCCCTGTGTTCTGGTTGTTTTGAAAGATGGCTGTGGTTTAATAAGCACTTTGCAGACGGTTGATAATAACTAGAGGTTGCATTTTATGTGAAATCGATTTGTTAGAAAAATGATATCGGAATTTTATCGATCTCTTTTTGGTTATAATTTATTTTTTCAAAACCCTAAATTATATACAGCTTAAATCTAATTATAATGTTAATGAAAATACTTGTTAACCAATTTAAAAGAGGAAAAAATACGACGTCTAAAATATCAGATCAAAATAATTATCTCGATAATATTTGTTAATTTAATTTTATGAGAAGTCTTTAAAATATTGGCCTATTTTCAAGTATAAATTCCACGCATAATTCCCTGCTCTTCATACAAAGTGCTTATAATCCCTCAAAAATAATACCGACTTATAGGGGTCGCTCTTTCTTATTTCCCCCTGGATATTTTTCAATTTGAAAGCCGTTTTCCTTGAAATTGCTTAAAGGTTTTAGGGCTGGGAGTGCGGAAAGCTAGGCTTGGCTAAAACCGCTCTATAAACAAACAGCTTTCTATATATTATATATCTTTGTGTATATCTTTCTCGTCCAAACTCCTTGACCAACAAAATGCTCGATTGTCAAAATAACAACCAACCAAACACACGACCAATATATATCCCCAAATGACAAAACCGATACGAAATATGAAAAACCATCCAGGTGTGGATGTGCGGCGGTGTGCTCGAGATCGCGCCCTGCTCCCGTGTGGGTCACGTTTTCCGCAAATCTACGCCGTACACCTTCCCCGGCGGCACCACGGAGATAGTCAATCACAATAATGCCCGTCTGGTCGAGGTTTGGCTGGACGACTGGAAAGAGTTCTACTACAGTTTTTATCCAGGTTAACAAACTAAAAAAAAAAATACAAAAAAAAACAAGCAAAAAACCAAGAAAACAAAACCAAACAACAGAATGCTCCTCCTCCACTTTCTCTCTCATGCTCACGTTCTTTTTCTCCACTCTCTAATTTCTATTGTCTGTCTCTTAAATAGTGTGTTTTGTTCCGTAAATCTCTATATATATATCTCTGCATACCATACAACTACAATATTTATCCCGAGCAAGCAGCACGCCCTGCATTAGCATTATGCAATGTCTATATTCACACACATAATAAATATTTATATCAATATTTATGATTTATGGCATGGCCGTGACCGAAATCCAATCCACAACAGCAACAACAAAAAATATAGCAACCCACCGATCAATCAACTGAATCCAACCACGAAATGTTTTTTTTTGCTTTCTTCACCTTTTTTATCTTTGATTTGCAAAAAGTTTTTGTTTTACTGGTTCCCCGATTTCCAGTTTTTTCTTTCTCTGTGTTTTTTGTGACTTTTTTTTTGGTATCGTTATGGTCTTGTTTTTACCACCCCCCAAAAAAATACACCCACCTGTCTCTTTTGTCTTTTGTCCCAATTGCGTCCCCATTTTCCACCCCCAAAAAATATTTCTATTTTTGAAGAGGGATAATCACAAAGGTTTAAATTTAGTGGGAGTGGTTATTAGAAACTGGAACCTCCTGGAACCCAGTTATTATTTTTTGTAGAAAAACTAATAAAGCTAAATGTATTTTTAGACTGGTAATGGATTATTGTTTTTAGCTTTTATTAAAAAAACACCATAATATGGTTTTTTCTAGAGTTTGAAAATAATCGATATCTTCGATATTTTGACAATATGGATTCGATAATCTCGCTGTCGATATTTTTTCAAGCTCTAGTTTTTATGCATAAGACGCTTGTAAATAACATTATTGGTACTGCTTGAACAATCAATGTAGCTTTAAAGTTGAAATGCTTAAATGTTATACAGTATTTGCATGATTTTGGTATACTAACTATGTATGTTCCATAGTATTTCATCGTATTTATCTTTCATTACCAGCACGTATTCTTATGTAATTATATTCAGTCACAAAAGCATTTTTAACTTGCCTTTCTAACAACACATACACCTAGTTCTTAATACACAAAACACTCACCAAGCATATATGTTATATGTATTTAATTCCATTATCTCCTAATTAACCTATGTATTTTATTTACTATTCTTTGTTATTTATAAAATAACTTTAGGAGCTCGCAAAGCTTCGGCTGGCGATGTTAGCGATCGTAAGGCTCTGCGTGATCGCCTCAAATGCAAGAGTTTCCGCTGGTACTTGGAGAATGTTTATCCCGAAAGCTTAATGCCTCTGGATTATTACTATCTTGGAGAGGTAAGTTGAAGTTTAGAGTTTTGATTAGTTATCTTTAACTGGTTTTTGATTTTTCTTATAAAAATAGATCCGCAATGCGGAAACGGAAACCTGCCTGGACACGATGGGCAGGAAGTACAACGAGAAGGTGGGCATTAGCTATTGCCACGGCCTGGGCGGCAACCAGGTGTTCGCCTACACCAAGCGCCAGCAGATCATGTCCGACGATCTGTGCCTGGACGCATCCAGCTCTAACGGACCCGTCAACATGGTGCGATGCCACAACATGGGCGGCAATCAGGAATGGGTCTACGATGCGGAGGTGAGTGCATTTCTAAGTAGTTTTTTAAGGGTTTAAAAAAAAATGTTTTTATTGTTAATTACTTAAAGTTGTCTAGACTACACTCAGAAAAGTTCATTTCGAACGAATCAATAGTTAAGGAGTTATACCCTTTAAAAGTTATGATCCTATGTTATAGAAACAACGTCTTAAAAGTCGGTGGACGCGATAACTCAAGAAGTTATGAACCAATTGTTTTCATATTTTCAGTTATGTACATTCTTTAGCTTACTAGACGTTTTTTCTTAATTGAAAAAAAAAACAAAATATATTTGTAAAAAAAAATCATAAAAAAAGTGTAGTAACCCCTTAAAGAAAGAACTTAATTATAATTAAAATACCATTTTTATATACTTTTTCAATATGAAACTAATATATTCTGTACTTATTTCGCAGGAGAAATGGATTCGTCACACGAATACTGGGCAGTGCTTACAGCGCGCCACGCGGGATGATGCCAACACGCCGCTGCTTCGTCCCTGCAGCTACGGAAAGGGCCAGCAGTGGCTAATGGAGTCCAAGTTCAAGTGGCAGGCTCACTAGCTGGATGGCGAACCGGGTCACCCGACTACAACAACAACAACTAAACTCAACGGATCCTACTAACTATACTGAGAACTTCCAATTTATATATATGTTTAATCCTTGCTGGCTCTTGTTTTTGACGTTTAGCAGCCTAAGTTCATTTGGATCTAAGTTCTCTCTATGCAAATATCTTTGTATCTCTCTCTCTGTGTGCGTGAATGTGTTTGCGGCCGGAGAATTCTTCCGGCGGCAGGATGTCTTCCCAAAATCTTGATGCGCGTGTGTGATTGCGTGAGAGTCAATACTAAAAATTTAGATTTATCTGTTTACATGATATACATGTATATGTGTTTGAAATAGGCAGGCAGTTCTACGATTTATCTAGGTATACGTAATTGTAATGTAAATTTACATTAGCTTCGACCAAGTACCAATAAATTGGCATTTAACTGACGTTTTGTGCTTCACAGAATATAATTTTAAAAGTACATCAATTGAATCCAAGCAAATGCAGGCCAAGCAATTGCCACAAGTGTGTCATAGCAGAAAATAATAATATAACCTAAATACAATACAATGATGAAGAAAGGTTCTAATCCCTCCTCACCGAAAACCCCAAGCACACGACATTCCTAGCTAGAATTTTACTTGAGGAAATATAAAGTTCTCTACTTTTGTTTTTGTATTTAAACTTTATGTCACTTTATGGGTTGTTCTTTCCGTGCACTTTTCACTATTTAGGCTATTCAAATATCAGAGAATCTGTTGCTTTGTAACAAAATAACGCGCTCTTCATATCACAAATGGAAATTACACGAAAATGCTTCTAAACCATAATCATTATACAACGGAAAAAATAAGAAAATCTCTTAAAAATGCACGCATATCATAAATACAGTGTAAAAATATTTATAAACTACATTCAGAAGAGAACTAAACGTATAAAAACAATGTAAATACGATTAATGTAGCTATTAAAAATATACATTTAAATAAAATATTTATGTAGTACCTATATGATATACACATATGCGAAGCAAGCAAAACTGTACTATAAATTGCATTTAGTTTTAGGTTTACCATTAAGTTCTAAATTAAATTTAGATTTAATCAAAGTTTGGCATATAACATCAACAATAGCTCTCGACTAAAATATTGCTCAAAATTGAAGAACTTTTACTCTCTCAGCTATTGTGTAAATATTTCGAAAAGTATTCCAATCAAAAGAATGAAGCATAACCTGACTAAAAACGAAATTCCACAGACCCCTGACAGCAGCAAACCGATAAGACAGACAAGACACAGGCCAAGTAAAACTTTTTAGCTAAATTTATTTTTAAAAACGATTATATGGAGAACCCATAGTTATAGAGAAACAATATATACATATGGCAAAATAGCAACTATTTTAACTGGTGACGGTGCAATTTTTAATTAACATTTAAAATAACAAGAACAGGAAAACGAATCCAATCAAGCAACAAACACAGGCAGGTGTCGAGACCCTTTCCCGAAACCAATCCTATAACTAGTGTTTAGTATGTGTTGTGCGACCGGTTTTTATGGCCTACTACAACATAATAGCTGCCTATATGTTTTAAATTGTTGATTTATATATATTTAGCTAAATATAGGTTTCCCATTTCTCAATTGTAAAATCTCTCAAAACACAAACCGAAGGAATAATAGAATGATTACGCTAAACTGAATGTAAGCCAACATTTTTTTATGAATTTATCATTTCAATTTGATTTTTGTTTGTTTAGAGACTTTTTAAATTTTATAAATAAAAAAATGACAAATTATGAGAAACCTCGGTGTTGTTTTATTCATGGTACGCTTGGCGTAAAACCACTAATAAATGAATTGCTGTCAACAATTTTTCAAGAGGAAATATGGGAATGCTGACGAAATTCCTCTTTCGGAAATGGAATTGGAAAAAATTGCAATCTGCGACGAACTTGCAGGCCGCAATTCTTGATACTCCTGTCGTTTTACACATCGGAATATACATTTGATGGTTTTGGGTTTCACAAATCTACAGCAAAAGATTCTTTATCTATGAGTCAACAAGACGACGGGAAGAGATTCCAAAACAGCTACTCTTAGGGTCGATTTCTCGTCCGCATGGAATCTTTAATCCCTGATTTCCCACACGTTTTCAAAGATTAAACTCTACTTCAAATTTGACAAGAGAACGAGAAATTGGTACTTTATGTCTTTTACGCAGAGGACATTGAAATCGTTTGGCTTTTTGCTAAGTTCTCTATGGGAACCGAATATTACAGCGCAGCAGCTGCATCGTTTAGAACAAGAATAACCGGCGTTTGCAATGGATTTAATTAATCCAAAGAGACCGCCACTACACATGCTTCTCCACGTAAATAAACTTCACTTTCGCATACTGATAAAAGTAAAAACCATTTTTTATTTTCACATGACCGGCACGGCGCAAACCACAGGAAAATCGCGTTGTCAGATTAAAACTACGGGAACTAGCATAGCGGAGCATTGGATTAGATGTTTCCATTGACGATCCGTTAATGTTTACTGTTCCTTGGTTTCACGCAGACGACGGACGGCGGAACGCACGGAGGCGGCGGCAGTGGTGGAGTACACCCAGGCGCCACCGGCGACGGTCCTCTTGCAGCGCTTGCAGGACCAGATGCCCACGACGGCGCGCTTCATGGAGTCCTGTGGATGGGATAAATTAGTTAGTAAGCTTATTTAAAACAGATCTCTATATTAGATAGATAGGTGTACATTAGAGTGGTTCGGTTTGGATGCCCAATAAGATTTTGTTAAAGGAAATAGTCAAGGGAAAATTGGGAACAATAATGCCAATGATCGAAATATAGTGTAAGTAATTTAATTTAAGATGAACAAATTAATACAAAATTAAATTCGTTTGAGGAAAATTTAAAAAACAAAAATCTGTATTCCGGTTGAATTATTAGATTTATGGATAGAAAAAACATTGAAATCTTATTGCCTCTTTAGTAATTAATTCTTTGATTACACATGTTTTTGTATTAATCTTTTTAAAGCATTTTAGATATATTATCTAGTTTTATAATTTTTTATATTATCTAGTTTCATAATTGCTGATATATTTCTTATATTTCATATTATCTAGTTTCATAATTGCTGATATATTTTGGCCATAAATTCTATTAATTTCAGTTTGATATCATACATTAATTTTGGCGCTATTTAAGAATTGTCCATTAATAATGTTCCTCATTTTTTTCGCTTTGGGATTGCTTTTTTGGTCCACCCTAAACCACATCCACGTCTGTAGAGACCGCAGCAACTCACCTTTCCGCAGAACGAGCAAGTGTACTTGCTGTGCTGGGTGATTTCCATCTTCTTGACCATCTTACGCAGGGAGGCACCATAACGGGTACCATATTTACCAACGATTCCAACCTTCTTGGTGCGCTTGGCCTGTCAATAATAGAGGGTTACAAATGTGGTTAGTTTGGGGTCAATTCTGGGCGGATTTCAAGGCCCCTCCTACCATTTTGCTGTTGTTTTTGGTGTGTTAAACACAGGAACGATTCGCCAGCAGTGATCTGTGCACGTGGAAAAGAATTAAAGATAAATTTAAAGGCAAAAACGTGGAGCAAAAATTTTGTACACCTACCCGCCGGAAACGAAAAATCGAAAAGAGAGAAAGTGTGACCGTGTAGTGCAATAATACCACAAAAAGCAAACGCGGTAAGGTGGAGAACTTGGCTACCATTTTAGCCATTACTCGAACACAAATTTATCGAGATTTCGGTTCGATTTTATAAATCTCGATTTCATTTTTTAATATATTTTAAAAGAGATAACTTTTTAAGCCTCACATTTAATGTTAATATAGTATTATTCAGAGAATCGGACGATTGTGCTATATTCGTCATGAAAACTAATTTAACTATGTTTACAGTTATTTTTTAAAGTATATTTAAAAAATATTCAAGAATTGTTATTGATGTTACATTTTTAATTGATTTATCGTTTTTCAAAAATAAACCCACCACCCAAAATAGACAATATAAACAAGTTATTTTTCCTTTTTATTTATTTGCCATTAAAACTCCACAGAAACGACCAAAACTTGCTGGTGTTATTCTCACTTGATTATCTAGTTCTACAAAAACTACGTAGACTTTGTAAAATTATATTTCTCTTAAGATTTTCGTAATATTATAAAGGACGTACTAGTATGCCTTAAGCCTTAGACCGATTAAATACGTAATTCAAAATTAACTTATAGGAAAATTTATACACTTCGTTGCCAAAGAAAGAAAACATCGGCGCCATCATAATTTAACAAAATTATTCCGAGACCTAAATAAAATTGCAATTAAAATCGCCAGCTAATCATAACGACCAATATTGAGAACAATGCAATTTTGCGCGAACCAAAATTTTCGACATCGTTCTGCTGACTTTTGCTTTCAATCTAAGTGTTAATAATAAGTATACGCAGTGGTTAACGATGATAGCGGGGACCTCACTTTGGCGTTCGGTTGGCGGCGCTGATCTTCTGCTTCTCGGCGTCCGTGAACTCCAGGATGCTCTCGATGGCCTGCAGATGGCCCTGCGAGTTCTCCTTGTCCGTCAGGAAGTAGAAGATAGCGCTCTTCAGGAATTGCAGCGTAACCTCGGGATCCACATGGGTGCGATTCTTCTGGGCCTCCAGCAGGCGACGGTAAATGGTCTAGATTTTTTACATTTTTGTACATTTTAATCGGGTTAGTTTTTCGGGTGGAGAGAGAGAAAAAGTGCAAGAAGAAGTAGAGAAGATTAGTCAGAATTTGAGAATATTGAAACTCGCAGTTGAAAGTGTGGTTAGTCGTTGAAATCAAATGTATTTACAAAAGGTTCGCTTTAATCGTTGGTAGAGTGCTATGCCATATGAACATTTAGGTTATAATGTTATGTATGTAACACTGAATTGTTTTTTGGGAACGGTTATATGGTTTTTTTCGTTGGGCTTTAATTGGAAGTTAACTTTGAGATGAACCACATGCTAAATGGATCTTAGATAGAGATTAGCTTTAAGTGTGTTTATCTGGTACTCCCGAAATGGGAACTCATCTAGCCGGATGTGAGTGTCATGTGTGGATGATGTTGAACATACCTCTAGTTGTTACCTCTACAAAACACTTTGGTTCGGAAAACAACAAGTACTTACAAAACAGAATAAATACGATATGTTTCGAAATGGAAATTATTAATCGAAGTTATAGTTTCGTAGTTTGGAACCCAATAACCTTACCCTGAATGCGGATGAAAATGCTGGTTAGTCTGGGGGGTGAGAGGTGAGCTGAGGGATTTCTGGATGGTAAGACCCAATGTTCGATATAGCCAATGTGCGTGATCAAATCATAAAATGCAACTAAAAATACTTTTTCGTCTTCTTTTCAGAAAATTTGGCCATAAAAACTCAAGAGTTAGTTAGTTTTGGGAGGATTTTTTTAGGGATATTACAAACCTTACGCGCGCCAAGTACCCACAAAGAAATCGCCTCTTTTGCAGTAAGGAGAGCATTATTACTGCCGCACTCTCTCATTCTGCACTCAGATGCCTACAAAAATAGTTGGTTTTTTGGTTGTTTTACGACAGAAATATTTAAAATTTAGAAAGAGTTGTTGCTTTTTTTTGGTAAATTAAAGTAAAAGTAAGAATACAGAATTAAACCAAGGATAAATACAGAGAAAGAGAGTTAAACTTTAAGTCCAGCATGCAATTGGAAGGGTTCGGAATCGAAACATGAACTGTACTTGGTTACTTGCATGCACTTGCTTGCACTCGCCACACTTCGCACTACGTGACTGTACTTATGGGCTAATCGAACTCGCAACGTAATGGAAATGAAACAAATCAAACGAGTTGAAAGTAAACGATGTTGCATTTAATGTAAGTTTAAATGTGTTGTAATCTTTGCTAGAAAATAATTATATGCAAAATGATCTTAACAGCTAGAAACGGAGTAAAACAGAAAAATGTTTTGCTTGTTTCGTTTAGCGGGCATTTCAATTAAGTGCCGCTTTTCCAGCATGGCAAAGTCAGCCCAATTGAAGTGCCACGCCCACAAGCAAAATATATATGCTATATAGATGAAGCGAATGCGTGTTCTTCTTGTTCTTGTTCTTGTCGCGTTGTGTTCTTGTTGTTCTTGTGATGGTGTCGAGATATGCTGAGATGCCTCACGATGCAACAAAATGCAACACACAAAACAAAACCGAAAATAGGATGAGGAATATATTGAAGAATCTTACGCGTATGTTCTCCAATTCGTCCTGCGTGCTCTGCAGCTGGTGGAGCAGCTCATTAATGGACACCTTGCTCTCCGGCTGACGCTGTGCTAAGTCCAGGGCCTGGAAAAGGTAAGTAGGAATCATGAAGTTTAAGTTTTACTACATTAATTCAAAAGGCCAAGATTAAATGTTATCAAGTTGAGAATTGCCCTTGTCACTTATTTGGGAAAAAATCTTCTTGAAATCAAGATAATGCTTTAAAGTTTGAAAAATAGAGATAAAAGGGGTCTTGATTTGGTTTTTGAGATGAAAAGTTGATTCGATTTTAAGATTGAATTGATCTTGGCTTATTGAGAAAAAATGTTCTTGAAATCAAGATAAAAATGCTCTTAAGTTAGCTTTTCGAGATAAAGCTGTAAAAATATAGAGATGAAAGTGGTCTTGATTTGGTTTTTCAAAATGAAAGTAGCTTTGATTTTAATATTGAATAGATCTTGGCTTAAAGAAAAAAAATGTTCTTGAAATCAAGATAAAAAGGCTTTCAAGTTTGTGTTTGGAGTTAAAGCGATCGTAAAGTAGAGATGAAAGTAGTCTCTATTAGGTTTCTCAAGATAAAATTAGTGTCAATTTCAAGATAGAATCGATTTTGGCTTATTTTTGAAATGGAGAGAATCTTCTTGAAATCACTGAGGGTAATATTTGGTAAAATTTTAAATTTAAAGCTTTCCAAATTATTAAATAAATCTAAACAAATCCATAATCCCACCTGATCCGCTCTAGAAATGCGTTCCGCCTCCTGGCCCTGCTGGTACATGTGCAGGTACATCTTGTTCTGCTTCTCCTCGTGCTCGACCAGCTTGCGCTGCAGATCCTCCAGCTGCCTCTCCAGCTCCCGGATGCGCTGCTTGGCCTGCTCGTAGTCGGGCACCATGTCCGAGTAGCGGGTGTTGCACTCGGCCAGCTTCTGGAGCAGTGCCTCCACCTTGTCATTATGCGACCGCTTAAGATCGCTGGTGGCGTTATCCTGACTCCGGATGAGCTCCTCGATGCGATGCTCGTACATGCGTATCAGTTCCTGCCGCTGCAGCTCGTAGTTCTCCAGATTGCTGGCCACATCGCCACCGGCGCCTCCACAAGCCAACGCCTCCTGTTCGCCATCCGGAGTGGAGCTTCCGCAAGCCTCGCTCTGCGTCTGCGAGTCCTTCGAGTGCACGGAGGACATGGTGAGGTCCTCAAAGTGACCGGAGTCCGCGTAGGAGCTCTGCATCTCCGCCGACATCTGCATGGCCTGCAGTTGCGAGTGATTCACATGCTGCCGGCTGAGATGCCTTGGACTGCCCTTGGCATTGCCCTCGTCCACCATGTCCACGATGGGCGACACATCCTGCGAGGTCTTCAGCTCCGCCTCCCGTACAGTCACCGCATCCGACGAAGCGGATCGCTCCTCGGGCGAACTGAGCGATGCCTTGAACAGTCGCAGCTCCACAACCTCGCGGGTGAGGCGCAGTATCTCCGTATCCTTCTGCTCGAGATCCTGCCGGGCAATGCACAGCAGTTCCTTGAGCCGCCGGATCTGCCGCTGTGCCCGCTGCGTCGGCGTGAGATAGTCCGATCCCACCTGACCCGCGTAGTTGGAGCAGTGCACCACGTACTTCATCTTGCGGCCACTGAAAGTGGTGCCGTTTCTGTAGGGGGATACAAAATATATTTAATAAACATTTTTAAAAATGTTATTAAAAACATTATAATAAAACCTGACAAAATTTGTTTTAATTTAATTTTCTATTAAAACATGATTTTATTCAGAAACCTAGACCAAAGGGTTATCTATTATTTTTTCTTAAGAAAAATTATTTAAATTCCACTATTAAATCTTAAACTAAATAAAAATATTCATAGATAAAAAAAAAATAATTTTATTATATCAGAACTTGTGAAATTTAATTTTAAAAAAATGGAAAAAAAACTTTAAAATCGATTTTTAATGAAAAATAATAAAATAAGAGCTGTATAGAATAAAATCTCTCTTTAAATAAAATATGTTCAGACAAACATTGTAGAGATATTTATAGTATTAATTGTATATCATTAATCAGAACTATAAAACATAATCTTAAAGTATTTAGAAATATTTTTAGTTGACTGCCTAAAATGTGTGGTCAACATAGCTAAACGATTGCCAAGTTCACTGATTTGTGTGGTTAAAAAAAAAGTGAAAGATAAGATAATAAGAGTTAAATGAGTATTTGATAGGTATAGTTAAGAAAGAAAAAAAACCCTATAATGTAATACTAATTGAGGAAATGGTTGTTCTAAAATTTAATTAAAAAAAACCACCCCAATACTTGTAATTAGGGGAAAAGTCTTAGTAAACAGAATTTAATTAAAACCCCAGGCTTCTAATCAAAGCAAATATTACCTGGCCACATAGGGATGCTCGCAGGACATGGTGGAGCGACCCGAGGTGGTGGTGGCAAAGGAGTACATGGAGTCTAGATCATCGTCCAGATAGGTACTAGGTGAATCCGGAGTGACTGGGGGCGTTCTTGGTGAAATCTTGGACTCGTGAAGGGTGGATAGCTTCCCCTTGGCGGCCTTGACGCAGTTTCCCTGGCGAATGCAGGTGTGGGATGGTGGTGATGTCTCTTCTGCAGATCCTAATCCTGGTGCTTTTCCTCCAGTTGCCGGCGTTTGGGGTGTCCTGGGCGAGGACTCCTTCATGCAGGAGGTGCCACTGCTGCTGCTGCTGATGTCACTGCCGCCGTTCAACTTGAGAGACTGCAAGATTGAAGATTAGAGATTGGCGATTGGAGAGATGGAGGATGAAAGGCCGGAGACTGCGATTAGTAACTAAACTATCTATCGCCGTTGTGGTGGCTGCCCCTCGATCGCTTAATCTTTTTTCTTATTTTTTTTACACTCTTGTTTCACTCTTTAGCTATTTTCTAATTTTGTTGCGTGGTCGCTGCTCAGTCGTGCATGGATTATTTGTGAGATATTCGCAAAAAAAAAATGGAGAAAAAAAATAACAAGACATAGCCGCGTAAAATGCAGGGTAAACCAATTCGCATTTGCAACGCCCCTAAAAGCAATTTGTTGCCATACATTTAACAAAACATTTTTCGGTTTGTATTCGCATTCGCTTTGCTTACTTTCATTGCGGCGATCTTTCTCTATTTCTCTCTAAATCTCAAGATCCCCTCCCTTTAGCAGCAGCATTTTTGTGGTCAATTAACCGCTCATTAGTCTGGGCTTCAAAGGGGGCATTTAGTATTTTGCATTTAGCTAGTTAGCCGACTAACTTAAATCGTGGCTGCGTCGATTAAATCATTAAATTTCTCAGCATTTTCTATGCATAATTTTTGTAAATTAACTTGGTGGAAAGTAAACAAAGAAGCTTAAAAACTAGAGCGAAATCATTTATAAACTTTTTCTGCAAAAAACTAATAATCTATAAATACAAAACTGCTGCTAAAAATTTTAAGAATCGATGCAAGAGCTCGAACCATTAAGCTAGAATTACACACAAAACACAACGGGATCAACTCGATATGCGCATGGTAAATTTTTGTTATTTATACGCATATCGATTTCACTAAGCATTTTCCCATGGTTAGGTAGCTTAGGGCTAGGAAATAATTAAGCACCTAGTTATTTGGTTAGCAAGACCTAGCAATTAATAAATCTATTAAAAATAGATAAATGTACTCAGCTGTTTGTGAAGAAAATGCATCCTTTTTTATCGAATCGTCACTACAAAATTTGCAACACTTGGTATATGGACTTAAAAATCTTAAAAGTACACTTGCCATGGTGCCACTAGTATACAATGTATGCCTAATACAAATTGAAATAGCCAAAAAAAATAATAAATCAAATGATAGGAAATGCAAATAAATACTGATTCTGATTTTAGATTTTATAAAAATTCCCGTAAGTAATTATCCTATTAAATTAAGTATTTAAACTAACCCTTTCAATGGAAATGCCACGAAAGAAAAAAGTTCATTGACTGGCACTGCATTGATTCTTTTGTTGTCCCCGATGTGAAGTGATTTAGGAACCACTGGCCCATTTGTAAAGCCCCTTTTTTTTCTGCCACACTGACCAACTCATCAGTTGGTTGATTGAATGGCCCATGGTATCTGGACAAATCTGTTTAACTGCCTCTTGCATTCTCTCTCTACTCTTTGTATGCCACATGTATTCACGTTTATTTCATAATCAGTAATGAGTTTCTTGCTCTATTTAATTGCCCAAGTTCTGGGGAATACTTCACGGCATTTCTGGAATGGCCAGGCCAAAAAGAAACTGTTTACGCACGGCTAAGCAATGGTTAAAAAACCAGTCTGGGAAAGGGAATATAAATAATAATAATAGTAAGAGAGCTTGTTAACCGGGCCAAACCCCCTTTGCCACATAATAATAACCTCCCGTTTACATTACGCACTTAAGCCATCGTCTTAAAGCCATCAAAGAGTCACGTTTCAAGCATTTTAACCTGGCTTATACGGCGCTCAGGTGCCATCAATTAAGCTGCTGACTAAGAAAATCAATGACTTTGATTCCGAATGGAGGAGATGGGCGGCAGACACAATGCAGGTGAGAACATCGGACCAAACTCACGTAATGGCCAATTCAGCCCACTTGGCTCTTGGCCAAGTTCTGCTCTTCTGGTCACGTGTTGGCAATCGCTTTTCGCCATTGTGGGAATGTTTGTTTTGGCCAAGTTTTTGGCTAAAATATAAAAAGGACTACAGTAATTTTGCCTACTTTTCAGGGTCGAAAAAGGGAGGGAAATTAAAGGGGATGGATGGTAAAGGATTATAGATTTTTTCTGTAATTTAGTGATGTAAAAATGAATATCCAATGATTGTAATTTAAATTACTTTAACAAATTAGTGAAATAATTTTTAAAAAAAGTTTATTTCTTTGTAAATTAATTTTAGATAATAAAAAATAATTTATTTCTCTAACAATACTAATATGGTCTTTTAAAAAACCTCAAGAATTTACAATCAAAATTCTTTTACCTCAAAAAGTGTGATATAAACTCTCTTTGAATTTATATAAACTCGTCTGTACCTAAAAAATCGTATAAATCATCCCTAATTGGTGTTTTTTCATAAGCTCAAAATAAATAAAAAAATGTTGTACAAACTTGTTTACAAAAGCTTACAAAGGTTTTTAAAAAGAAAGCTTGAGAATAAACTTTTTTTTGTAAATTTACTCAATTATTTTGTAACTTGTATATAAAATGCATTCTCCTCACTTTGCTTTTCTCTATGCACACAAATTACGCATTCACACGTGCCACTTCCTTACTACCCCCAAAAAAACCACACTTTTCACTGGAACATTTCCGTCATAATTAGAACGTAGAGCGTCGAAAATCAATAACAATTATGAATAAATAATGCAAAAGGGCCAACGAACTTCCACTTTTAATGATGGCTTTAAATATACCCATAGGTGTATGGTGGAGTCCAAGGCGCGTAATTACCATTTATGAGCCATGGCTCCAAGTTGTGTTGTCTTCAATTAAAATTGCTCGCACCGTACTTAGTGTAGGTACTGGGATATATTAAAAAGGCGAAGGAAAAAACCGAGAATTAAGGGCAAAATGCACGCTTGAATTGTTTAAGCCAGAAGGTTTTTAAATTTTTTTTTAACAATATCAGAGAGCCGAACCGCGAATCTTCTGAACGCGGTGAGTATAAAAAATCAACTGAAAGGCAAATCACTTGGCCAAGAAGCGAAGAGAGCGAAAAAGACGAAGAAGATACAAAAAAAAGGTGGTTAAAAACAGAGGCGGGAGAGTGGAGCAGGGGGAGGGGGTCTCAAAAGCTGCGCACTTGCATTTCCTGTTCTCTCTCAACCCCCGCAAATCACAAGAAAACCCAAACAAACCGAAAATCAGCTGTTTCCTAGGTACAATTTGGCAAAACGGAACAAGCGGAAGTGGAAACGAAACAGCTGGTAAAAAGCAAGGGAGGGGGGAGATTTGGGGGGTCTTGAGGTTGAGAAGGTGAAGCGTGTGTAAGGTAAGCTGTGTTTGTCTTCACCTTTCTTTTTTCTCTTTCTCTCTCTTTCACCCCAGTATTATGCAAACTCAGCTTTGGGTTTATTTTTTGTTCCCTACCGTACAGACTTATGTATATAGTATATCTGGTTTAATGATCGCTGTCGGTGGGAAGAGTACAACCTGTAAGCTGCGTGTCATCACGACAGCTCGAAAAGTGCAAGTGACAAAATGGCATTACCCAGCTAAATCAATTATAACTTTCCAGGAAACTTAAATCCATAATCACAAAACAATACTTTTATGAACTTGGCGAAACCTGAAGAAGTGATAGATATTATGAAACATGATAATATTTTATGAGTATTTTTTATTCCTAGATATTGAGGAAATGATATCAGCAAATTCTAGAATATTTCTTAACCCATAAGATCTAAGACCATATAACTAATTCATTATCTTTTAAATCCCAAATTTTGTGTATGATAATACTTATTTCCGATATATTTTGTTTCCATTATCCATATTTAAATTCAATATCATACAACTATCCGAAAAATAACAAAAAGTGACAAAGCAAATGGAATAGAGATTAGATTTATAGAGTACAGACACTCCTTTCCTTAATAAACAACTCGGAAATTAATCTACTACAAAGTTTGTACTTGTTTTTTTTCATAGCAGTCAAATTCTAAATTTATTCTTGAAATAATTTTGACTATCATTTAGCCAAAAAAAAATGAATACACCTAAGTTTATATACACACAAAAAAATTTGCTTGGTAAAATTGACCAACAAAGATAGTTACGTAACTATTAAAATAGTTACGAGTATTTTGTTTTTGCTTTGGGTTTGTGTCTTTGCTAATTGTGTGTATTTTGTTGTTGTGAAATGACTATTTACTTAGTAGAATTGACAATTTTGCTGGTTGGGGCCTGTTTGACAATTATTACAGTTGATTTTACCAAGATTTTTTTTTGTGTGTAGACATTCTTCTATAACAGTATAGAATAAGCTTATGAGGTAAGCAAATGTACATATTTTGAAGTGGGAGTGTAAGAAGACCGCTCCTAAATTCCCGGAAAATGCCTTTAGCGCTCCCCAGATAGTTTCGTAATATTCCCTGTACTTCCGACTACGAGTGCGTGCTAACAACCCACCCACCACCCCCATAAATTATCCCCCCCCAATGGCGGGGGCGGTTCTTCGACTAAAAGTTACATAGGTCAGCAGCGGCAAGTGAAAATCAATACGAAATACGATATACGACTTAGCTTACCAGATTTCGCGGTTTTCCGTTGGCCATATTGCTGTTCGTCACTTTCGGACCTTCCAACTCGTCTTCAGCCAGGGAAAGAATTTGAGTGGCGTTGCATAGGGCATGGCTTACAGAGGATTCCGAATCCGCCGCCTTCGAAACCTCCACTTCCGGTTCCTGCTCCGTTTTGTGGCCTAAATTGCTCCAGCTGCGATTACGCCTCAAATGGACCGGTTGCGAACGCGATTTCTGGCCGGATGGGATCGCCGTGAGCTTGGCGCGCGAACTGAATCCGCCTCCGCCGGCTGGCCAGTGTTCAGGTCGTAAACCCAGCTCCGATGAGGGGTTCCCGCGCAGGCGCAGAGAGGCGGAACGCCGGAAATGGGCCACCGAAGGATGTGGAATGCGTGTGGGAGTTGTGGATGCCGTGTGGGTGGTGGTTTCCGTATCCTCCACGGGCCCGTTGTCCTTCTCCAACGGCAATGACGTCTCCAGTTGCAGCGACGTCATCATCTCTGCACAGAGAACAATTATAGCAAGGTTAGAAAGGTTTTTTCTCAAGTAATTTCCTGAAAAATAATTAAAAAGTAGGTACACCCAAAAAAAATCGATACGAAACATAGATCGATTAATTTTAAATTGATATGCGGCCCCGTAAATTCGATATGCTTGAAAAGAGGTTTTTGTTAAAACGATATGCGATAAAAAAAAATGTTCATGTGCATTTTTGTGTGTATACAATAAAAGAAAATAAATTAGAACATCACTACAAAAGTAAAAAACTATCAACAATATAATAATTTATTTTCTTATACAAATATACTTAATTATAAGAATATAATTTAGTTTATCCCTATAAAATCTTAATACAAATCTTATAACATAAACTAATAAGCATTTAATACTTAATAACTTGTTCAGTTACAGTAAAATACTTCCTTAAATCGAGACCATTATAGTTTTCTTTAATTAGATAATAATTGTATGTTTTCTCAGTGTACCCATTCAGAAAGTGAAATGCTAAGTTATGCCTAAGAAAATGAGCTGAATGCAAATTGAGCTCAAATCAATTTCTAATCATTGGTTGCACTTTCAAAATGTAAGCAATTTTATAATTGAATGCCTCAGATAAACGACTTCATTATCTTAAACGCTCCTCGGGGTAATTAAAACTTTCTTCAGTCCGCAATTAATAATTATGATCGTACCCATATTGTATACTCCATCCCGCTCGCCAATAGTTGCACTGATTTGCTGGGCAAATCCAAAATGAAAAGTGAAATTAAAGCAGTTTCCCAGACATGCAACTCTCAGTTTTTTTTATTTTTTTTTTCCCTGCAGATAATTACGAAATTTGTTTTTGAGATCTTTTTCGCTTGCGGTTCGGTTTCTTCTGCGGTGTCAATGGATCTGGCTGTTCTCGTTTCAAAAAGAAAAACCAACACGATCTTAAAGGTCTTCGGGTTAGAAGAGCTACAAGCACCTGCGAAAATTTATATGACACTTTGAAAAGGCTATAAGCAATTTCTTTTTAATTTTTTTTCGGCGATATCAGCAATTTAATGTGATATCAGACGCGAAATCTTTGATAAGGTTGGGTTGGTCAAATCGATTGGAATTAAGTTGCTAAACTTGAAGTCTATTAAAATATTAAACAGCTTAAAAGATTTCTAATTTCATTTTAGTATTAAGTGTGAAAACAAGTAAATAAATTAGTAAAAAGTAACATGTAACATGTAAAATTGCATAGTAAGTATATTTTTATTTGTCAACAAAAACAATATAAAATGTATTTATCTTTTAATTTATTTATTTTTTTAAATGTTTAGTTCAATGTTCGTTAATCTGTTTTAGTTGTAAGCTTAAAGCCCCTTTTATTTTTTAATTTCTTGTAATTTTCGTAAATCTCTGGAAAGAGCTCCAAAACATTTTCCCCATAATAACAAAGAATAACAAATGACTGAAACCAAAATAATTGTTTTACTCATCTGGCCCTTATTATCTTCTCTTCTCTTCTCTGCTTTAAAATCCCCTTCCCCATTTTTGGTAGCAATTAGAGCAACTATCATTGTAAAGTATTTCCGCTCATTTCTTTTAAACTCAAACAGCTTCAACAAAATTGTTCAGTTTTGGGAGGTTTTGGTTTTGGGTTGAGATAGGCCATAAAAGGTCAATTTCACAGCTGAACAAACGTGTTTTTCTCCTCGTTTTGTTTCACTTCACTGTAATACCGTCTTTACATTTTTTTGCCACGTTTTTTGTAACCAGATTGAGTGCATTCACGGCATTTCTTTCGAACGGGATTGATTTAAACGTTGACAAGGTCAATGGATAGCGCTTAAGATACTCAAGTCAGATGTGAAAATATTTAATCAATGGCGAAATGGAGCACGTTTCTTTTGTTTTCGGTGCCTAAGTAAATACCAGGCAGCTGTTTAAGTAATTAAATGTAACGTTCTTGAGTACTACACAGTGCAAAATCATTTGAAGAGTTCACTAGCCTTTAAATTATAAGAAAAAAAGTGTTAACTTATAGGGAAAAATTAAAATTTAAGAACTAAAATCTAAAAATCAAGATAAAAATTTGTATAGATTTTTTAACATTAAATTTCCACAATATTAATTTTTCTTGTGTACCTCTAAAACACTCCCCCTGTAAAAAAGCTCTCTAAATTCCCCTCTCTCACTTATCAACAAGAACAATTTTGTGGCCGTGTTTTCGTGATAAGAGTTCCAAAGCCAACAACAAAATCACAAATCGACACAAATATGTCGCTCTCAGCTGAAATTCGCCACCTTTCAGCTAGAAATATTAACAAAATTATTAAAAATACCTGAAGTTAGCTACGCTGTCGGCAATTAAGTGCACTATTTACTAGCAATTTGTATGCAAATAATTGCAGAAATCTTTAACAGAACACCGAGCGGCAAAACGTTCAACCGAGCGCGAAAAATCCAACAATATTTAACTTTAAGTTTAACAACAATTGTGGTGCGCGTGCTGAAGGCGAGCGACAAAATGCAACTGAGGCTGAAAAACTGAAAAGCTGAAAAGCCGAGCGGCGAATGGAAAAGTCTGTTGGCAGATGGAAAAACTATTGTTCAATTAACAAAGCGAGACGGAAAATGGAGTAGTCGTAGTCCGAGTGTTGCAATCGTCGGGATTTTTGGATTTTGTAGCCGGTGTATGTCGTCTTTCCACCTTTTTGATGGCATTTTAAACGAATTTTCGGGGCTGGGAAGCTCCATCTCAATCTGAATCTCCAGGTGAAAGGCAAATATAAAAGCGACCGCAAAAGGCAAAAGGTTTTCGGTGCAATTAATTGGCACAATAAAAACAAAGGCGGCTATATGCATTGTGTACTTGCCCAAATTGTTTCGCTTTTGCTGGCGAAGACCTCATTTCCCATGGCATTTTGCGGGCGGATGGTGCATTATAAATTTTGCGGTGTTCGGTCTTGCGGAAAGTCTTAGTTTTCCTCAGCTCACTCAACTTGCAACCGCAATTGTACTTAAAGTTGTACAAAAAATTAACCAATGGAATGCACTTTTGTCGGCATTTCGGCGTTCTTTGAGTTATTTTTGCCGATATTACTTGAAACTATTTGAATTTGCCGCCAATAATTGTTATCGATTTTTGAAATATATATCGATTTTAAGAAATGTACATGACCAGTGTTGACAACTAGCAAACCGAAAAATAGCTAAATAACCTCGTAAAAAGTCGACAATTAAAAAAAAAATAATTATCAATTATTAAAATTTAAATAATTTGCTTAAAATCATTTTAACTTAATGAAATTCAAAGTTTTTGTAGTTCGAAAAACTGTAATAAAAAATTTTATTAAAAAAAACCTAATATATTAAGTTATATTTAGATTTTAGATTTAGATTTTACAAATTGACACTTTTCCTAGAGGTAACTTTATTGCTCATTCATTTGTATGTGATTGAAACCAAAACAAACAAATAACACAGGAACACAAAATTAAACTTTGTGAAATTTCCACGAACCATTTCAAGTTTTCCATGATATTTGGGTGCTCCTGAGTAAAAGTCCCATACAATATTATTTTCCATCACCTACAGGTTCCGCGGTATAGCTAAGAATACAAAAAACCGATGTTTGCCGACATTTTGAATTACGTGGCCTATATAATTGGACCAACCTTTATTATTTTCGGTAGGACCTACTCTCAATACATCAAGGCATTCCTAAAAAATAGTCCCCATTGTGAACCATTGCCCATGTCTTTGGAATTCGACGCCAAAGTTGAAAATCCCAAAATTGTAGAGATTTTTCTGATGGAAAAACAATTCTGAGGATTAAATCTTGAATGGAAGTAATTTTAACTATTCATTGTATCTATTGTTCATTGTATGCTTTAATTTCGGTTTAAAGCGTTTTCATGAGAACATTTTATTGGATTTCTTATACTAATAAAACCGATTTTTTTATTTCATTATCTACTCCTAAATGTTGTCAAATTTTGAATAAGTCATGGCAACCTCTAGAACTAAGAAACTAAAATACGTTCACTGAACATACACAGAGAAATGTAAATGTTTACTCCCATTCTGTAGGATGCCTTGACTTTTTTAAAATTTGACAACATTTAGGAGTAGATAATGAAATAAAAAAAACGGTTTTATTAGTATAATAAATCCAATAAAAAATATTCTCATGAAATCGCTTTAAACCGAAATTAAAGCATACAATGAACAATAGATACAATGAATAGTTAAAATTACTTCCATTCAAGATTTAATCCTCAGAATTGTTTTTCCATCAGAAAAATCTCTACAATTTTGGGATTTTCAACTTTGGCGTCGAATTCCAAAGACATGGGCAATGGTTCACAATGGGGACTATTTTTTAGGAATGCCTTGATGTATTGAGAGTAGGTCCTACCGAAAATAATAAAGGTTGGTCCAATTATATAGGCCACGTAATTCAAAATGTCGGCAAACATCGGTTTTTTGTATTCTTAGCTATACCGCGGAACCTGTAGGTGATGGAAAATAATTTTGTATGGGACTTTTACTCAGGAGCACCCAAATATCATGGAAAACTTGAAATGGTTCGTGGAAATTTTTGGCTGTGTACCTGTGTAATTTATACATTAAAAAAACATTTATCAAACTAAAGCAGCGGTCGGCACACACATACGTTGACATTTTGTTTTATATTTGTGTGAGTAATTTGCACTGGGCAGCTCATCGATGTGTGTGTGCAGACCGCTGTTTTACGTTGTACATGTGCGAGCAGCGCGCCGGCAGAACAAAACCCTATGCTCACTTAATAGGGCGCTGCCGACCGCTGAACTAAAGTGAAGAAATATTTAATGTCTAAATAAAGCTAGTTTTGGCGGTAAATCCCCCGAACTGTCATCTCCTCCCTCCGATAGCTTTTCGATAGCCCGCCCGCGATACAACACTGCTGCGAGTATTACTTGCAATTCTGCAAACTCAAACGAGACGGCTTTGTGTTTTTTGTTGCTGCTTTCGGCGAGGAACGTAAATTACACGTAAAGCAGTAGGAAGTAGGTTCTATAAGTCTAGAATACAGAGTGTCTACGAAACCCCAGAGGTGAGTACTTACATTAGTCAGCGCTTTTCGATTCTTACTAACTGAAGTCTGGATCCTCCTCGATTAGCCGCATAAAATGGATCGCTTGCTACGTCTTGGAGGCGCCATGCCACAGGCTGCCCCGCCCACAGATGCGCCCGTCGTGGACACCGCCGAGCAGGTGTACATCTCATCCTTGGCCCTGCTCAAGATGCTCAAGCACGGACGCGCCGGCGTTCCCATGGAGGTGATGGGTCTCATGTTGGGCGAATTCGTGGACGACTACACGGTGCAGGTCATCGATGTCTTTGCCATGCCCCAAACGGGCACAGGAGTCTCGGTGGAGGCCGTGGATCCCGTCTTCCAGGCCAAGATGTTGGACATGCTGAAGCAGACGGGTCGACCTGAGATGGTCGTCGGTTGGTATCACTCCCATCCCGGTTTTGGCTGCTGGCTCTCCGGCGTGGACATCAATACGCAGCAATCCTTCGAAGCTTTGTCCGAACGAGCCGTTGCCGTCGTCGTGGATCCCATTCAGTCGGTCAAGGGCAAGGTGGTCATCGATGCCTTCCGCCTGATCAATCCCAATATGCTGGTTTTGGGACAAGAGCCTCGGCAAACGACCTCCAATTTGGGTCACCTGCAGAAGCCATCGGTGCAGGCGCTGATCCATGGACTGAATCGCCACTACTACTCGATCAGCATCAACTACCGCAAGAACGAGCTGGAGCAGAAGATGCTCCTCAATCTGCACAAAAAGTCCTGGAAGGATGGCCTCACGTTGTCCGACTACAACGAGCATTGTTCTATCAACGAGGACACCGTCGCCGAGATGCTCGACCTGGCCAAGAATTACAACAAGGTGGGTTGCAGTGATGATTCATTCAATTTCAAAGATATACCTCAATTAACCGCCTTTTTCTTTCTTTCAGTCGCTGGAGGACGAGGAGAAAATGACGCCCGAACAGCTGGCGATCAAGAATGTGGGCAAACAGGACCCCAAACGGCATTTGGAGGAGAAGGTGGACAAGGTCATGCAGAACAATATTGTGCAGTGTCTGGGCGCCATGCTGGACACCATAGTCTTTAAGTAAAATTTTGCATTTGCTTTCCTCAAACGATTTACCCCCCTCATCCCACAAACCCGCTAAGCTAATCGTATTAAAAGATAAAAACAGCTTTTGTTTAGAGCAAAGTTTTACACAAAGGGAATTTCGTTTTGTTTTTGAAAAAAACTTTATTTTTGAGAACATGAGTTTTTATATTTGCTGCTTAATTTTTTGGCAGAGCCAAAATCTTGAAACGCATCCAATCCTTTATTTAAGAACGTTTAGTCAACGAAAATGGTCACATTGCAAAAGAGAATTTCATATAATTTTGTCAGATTTGTTTGACCGGCAATTTTTCCGCGAATTTCACTGAGCAAATTAAGATTTCTTATCACTTTCTCGAATAAGATGACGGAAACAAGACAATTTATTTTTATAATCTCAATTTTTTTGGGCTATGTAGTAGCTACTACAAATCCCAATCTCGAAATCTTCAACTGCATGGTTGGTGAAATGGATGATAAAGGCAAGCCGTGCCAGAATTTCTACAATTCCTCCCAAAAGAATCTTGAATGGGAGGAATCGTCACCGACGGTAAACGCCCAGTTTGAAAACCTATTCGATGGACTGAAGGACCAAGCTTTTGAGGAGCACAGCTTGGAGGAGAAAGTCCGACGATTCTACAAAATTTGTCTGGCGTCGTCGCAATCAAAAGGTCTCTTAAGGTATTTCAAACTGGTTCCACCGGGTGAAAACCTATCTTGGCCCTTTCTTACAAACCAAGGAAGTGAGTGGCCCAAAGAGAAGTTTCAATGGATGGAGACACTGGGAAGACTTCGTCGATATGGCTTAAATGACGTCATGTTTGGAATGAACGTACTACTGGATAAGGAAAGTGGCCAACCCATAGTGGTTTTAAAAAGAGCGTATAACTTCGAGTTCCGATTCCTCGAATCCCTACTCCGTCTTGGCCTGTCCACCGAATTGGCAAAGGAAATAGCCCCTCTGGATGAGGCCCTTCAAAAGCTGTTTGCATCAGATAAACAGTGGGAGGATGAGCAGGAAAATACTAGTCTAGGTAAACGGATTAGTCTAAAAGAACTGGAACATTATGGAGTGCTCCTAACCAAATATCTGGAGATTGTGTTTAATCGCCCGTTTTCGCCGGACTTTGAAGTGCAGATAGAGAATCTCTACTATATGATGAGACTCCAGGAATTATTAACCTCCGTCGACAGCCAGGTGGTGGCCCATTACCTCACTGCACGCTTCCAGTTTTATGTTATGTTTACCCTAGGAAAATCCAGACATGGTGGAAGCGACTCTTGTGTGAATGTCATGCGCTTTTGCCTCGAATTCGCCAGCAATCTTTTATACGAGGAACGGATTTTGGGACGCAGAAAGTTCCGTAGCTACCTGAACCAGGCCGGAAAGGTATTTGAAGCCATGCGTAATCAGTTTATTATCAGATTGGAAAGGAACTCCCTAAACCTGAAGACCCCTGAGATAGCTTACCTGCAAAACCGCTTGAAGAGCTTGTCTTTGAGCATTGGAAATCTCCCCGGAAAAGGCGGACACCGCCGGTTTGTAACTAATTATTATAAGGATCTGGAGTTTGATCTTGACGAGGATCTGGAGGCAGCCCACCTGAAGATTTTGAAGCACCGAACGAATATTGAATTAAGCCTTCTGGTCGATCCAGTTGCCAAGAGCAAACGGTACATCCTCTATTCCTATCCCATCTCAAATGAATTTTTCACAACTGCTAATAATGAAAACACAATTTATCTGGCTTACGACCTTCTAGCGGATTCTTCTTTTGATCCTGAAGCTCATGAGATTTTCAAGATGATTCCCTTGGCAATCCGCCTTGGGGTTAATATGTTCAAAGGTTTAGATATCGGTAATTGCAAACGGCATAAAGTCAATTTATTCCACATGTTCGATGATAACCATGTTATAAAAGGAAGTCCTACTTGTAAAAACTTATGGAGTCAAGAACGATCGAAGAGTTTGCGCGAAGAGAGTCTTGTCATTCTCAATTTGGCCCACGAAGCCTATTTCGCAGAGGGTTCCAAGTTCAGCCAGAGGCAACTCAACTTCACCACCATGTCTTTAAGGGAGTTGTTCTTCTTTAGATTTGGACAGAGCCAGTTTGGTAAACATTTGTATTTTAGGAGCGATTTTGTTAAGGGCGGACCGCCCAGCAATTCAGTGACAATGCTACCTGCTTTTGTTCAGGCCTTTAACTGTCCGGATCCTGGGAAATTTCCCATCCAGTCTGAAGATGTATAATATTAGAATATCTATTGTTAATGTTCTTAAATAGGAAAATATGCTGCCTACCTCATGGTACCCAGTGTGATTCAATGGAATATATATATGATATACGAAATGCGATCAAAAAATGTTGTATATAAATAGAGACATTAAAAAGAAACAGAACAGACTTCTTAAAACTCAAAACGAATAGTTTTGATAACCGATCTAAGGGATAAATCGATAATTTTATGCTGCCAATAGCTACACTCAATATTTTTTTGTTTTTGACATTCAATGGATTAATAACGATAAAAAAACTTTTACAAAAAAATGATTCGATTTTATTAGAACATTGTTTATTTATTACTTATCTGTAAGTATAGATAGACCTAAGAACTAAGCGGCGGCAGCTGCTGCTGAGGGATTCCGATTCCGCTTCCCCGCCTCCATTTCTCCTCCTCCCCCTCGAAGCGACAGCTGTGGGTTGATGTTTTTCCCGCCGCCGCCGCTGCTGCTGCTTTTCCAATCCAAGATGGCGGCCAGGGGCATTTAGGCCCGCTCACCGCGGATGCGTCTGGCCAGCTGGATGTCCTTGGGCATGATGGTGACGCGCTTGGCATGAATGGCGCACAGATTGGTGTCCTCGAAGAGGCCGACCAAATACGCCTCGCTGGCTTCCTGTGAATTGCGTAGTAGAGATACCCATTATTACATGAACATGTGAAATGAAAGGGAGGGGGAGCACCCCTGACCGAACATTACCTGCAAAGCTCCGATGGCCGCCGACTGGAAGCGCAGATCGGTCTTGAAATCCTGGGCAATTTCACGCACCAGACGCTGGAAGGGCAGCTTGCGGATGAGCAGCTCCGTGGACTTCTGGTAGCGACGAATCTCACGAAGGGCCACAGTTCCAGGGCGATAGCGATGTGGCTTCTTGACACCTCCGGTGGAGGGAGCCGATTTGCGGGCCGCCTTGGTGGCCAATTGCTTGCGGGGCGCCTTGCCACCGGTCGATTTACGGGCTGTTTGCTTGGTACGAGCCATTTTTCACTTGCTTAAATTCGGTCTCCAAAATTAGTTTAGTTACAATGACGGAATTGACAGTTGATCGAACTCTACTGTACGAGATTTTCACGACGAATGAATGGCGAAAGGGAGGGACGGGGTTTACGCGCGGTTTGCCGAGTGTGACCGCACTGTGGAAATGCGTTGAGGGGGTTCCTCTATTTGTTCCAGCTGTTCGGGAAAATCCTATTCGTAGAGAGTTCGAGAACAACCCAGAAAGTTTTTAATTATTTCCAACTCACTAGCTCTTTATGTCCAGATGCGGGAAATATATACTGAGATAATTTTGAACAATTTTATATTATTATAATTATGATCAAGCTTTTAAGGCTTTCTTTTTATTTTGATTTATTTTAAATTAAATAAATTATTTTAGTTCTGGGATATTAATTCATTTGAATACGTTTTGGGTTTTTTAAACAGTTGAATGGCTGATTTTAAAAATATTACAGAGAAAGAACCAAAATGAAATGAAACAAATGCGAAATATTAGTATTCAAAATGTTAAATTAATTTACATATTATTATATATCTTTAGTTATATTCATTAGTGAGCTGTGGTCGATTATTTAGTATCCAAAATGATTAATTTAGTTTAATTTATCTAGTACTTATCTTTAGTTATATATCATTAAAAAGCTGTGGTCGATTTTTTAAAATTAAAATTGAATTAATTTAGAAATTTAATCGTCAAAGAAAATACTCTATTATTTAATTATCGATAGTATAATCGATAGCTCAACATTCTCCCACCTCTAGTCGAAAGTTCAAAACATAGCGGGACTTTCAATGGTCACATTAACTGAAAAACCATCGTGCTAAAGCTTGTATTTTCCACAATTTCTTGGTTGGTTTGGAGGTAACTTAATACACAAAAAAGCTTGTAATTTGACAAAACCTTTTGATTGCACAATGGCCGACTACGAGTATGGAATCTGTCCGTATGACGACACCCACCGCATCATGCTCTTCCGGATGCCCAAGCACATCGTAAAGTGCGAGAAGAACTACCACGGACCGCCGTTGAAGACCTGCAAATACAACGCCACGCACCGCGTTCGCGACATGGAGGAGCACCTCAAGGAGTGTCCCTACTATCTCCAAAGTTTGGACAACGAAGCTGTCCAGATGGCCCTCACCACTCGCATTGCGCCCATGCTGGAAGATGGTCATGATGTCAGCACACCACTCTAGATTCTAGACTAAGATTATCCAGACAACCCAATATACCAATATACAATGTATATGATCCATTAAAAGCTTCTTGAAGAAGCCCTATTCATATGTAAAACCATCTTTCCTTCGATTACCATCATGTTATGATTAAAATACATTTACGCTGAGAGTCTTAAACTAGAGAAGCAAAAGTTTTGGTATTTACAATTGCACAAAGCCTGGTGTCATTTTCAATACATTCGTCTGGCGTTCAAAACATTTGCAGGCACTTTTCCACAACTATTTACAGACTAAGATTAAGTCTAGGACTAGTTACACCATATCGAGGTCCGATTCGGCCGCCTCCTCGTCGAGCAGCTTCCTTTTGTCCGTTGACCTGGCGCCGGCATCGCTCAAATTGGCCAGCGGACGCACCTTGCCGAGATTAACCACCGGACTCTGGGTGTACAGATAGATGGCATAGGACACCACCGCGATGGCCAGCGCGGTGTTCATGTAGATGGGTATGGAGAAGAGGAAGTAGCACAGGACAGCCGTGAAGAGCAGCTCCAAGGCGCTGGCAAAGGTCTTCAGTATGGAGTTCATGTACTTAAGGAAGAAACTCGTGACAATGCCAATCGCCGCATTGTTTACAATGATAATCAGCACGCTGAAGCGCATGATGCTGCTTAGATTCTGTGGACTGAAGGCGTCCAGGAGCTCGCCGCGCAGCAGGAGGATGGCAGCATTGCAGACAATCGAATCCAGATACATAAACACATTCTGCACAAAGATATTAACATCGGCGCCCTTATCCTTCAGCAGATATTCGTTATAAACGCCAGCTAGGCAAGAACAGATAGTCTGTGCCAATATAAAAACGGCACTCAGACTGAAATCAAATCCAGACATATTCTTGCCATGAATTTGAGCATTACTAGCCGTTCGATTGAGTGATTGCTGTTGCTGTATAGCTGCCGATTCGCTATCATCATTGGTATCGCTGTAGAAACTCCCGAAATCGATCTGTTTCATCATGCAGCCCAGTGTGAGTAGTATCAGGGAGATCCACTGCCGTTGCGACAGGTACTTCTTGAAGATAATTTGAAACAGTATGCCGGTGACGACGACGCGCAGCTGCAGCAGCAGATAATACGTGGTGGGGTCAAACGTGGCCAAGTTGACGAAGGCCAAATTGTTGTACAGGCAGTAGAGGAAGGCGGGCACCATGTACAGGGCCAAAACATTGCGATCCTTGTGCACATCCCGCACCAAAGAGCGTAGATTGTGGCTGCAAAAAGGATCAACAAAGGATTAGTTGGGTAATAAAGGGGATTCCCTCTACATAACTACTAACTCCCGGCAGTACAGGCAGGTGGAAACAATCAGCTTAAAGACCTCGGTGAGCAGAACAACCGTGACGGTGTTATAACCATAGGAATTATTCGATTCCTGGGAAGCTGTGACAAAGATGCCTGAAAAAAAGACGAAAAATTAGGGTGCGGCTTAGCCTTAATTTAAAGCTCCCTGCAAGGGATTACATACCCTGCCCTATAAATAGGGACATGTACAGCAGAAAGATCACAAATGTGAGTTTGGTGGGGAACAATTCACGCCAATTAGTGGACATCTTGGCGATCTACGATTTGCCAGCGTTGCGTTTCGAATGAGAGACCGAAACTGAAGTAAGACGTCTGAAAACTTCACCCACTTCAAATCGCAGCTCTAGCCCCTTGGCAACGGCTATCAGTTCCGCTTTTGTCGTGGCAAAGAGACCCAGTTTTCGGTGTTCCAGGAAATGGAATTTCTTTCAGTTTCGGTCGTTTTTATCTGATAAACAAAAGTGTATTTTGGGGGGCCCTTTTTTTTATCGCTCGCCCGAACAGCTGACGCAGGGCAGTGTTTTTAACACTAGTCTAGTGTTGCGAAACGCCGCCTTTCTACTGCAGCCGACTTCACGTCGTTGGGCTCTTTTCGCTAACATTTCGTCAACACCAACATGGCAAATCGTGCAAATCGTCATGCTGCCCGCACCGAGGAGTCGGATAACACTATCAACTATGTCCAGTGCGACGGTCTGGTGAGTACTGCTCCTGGCCAAAGGAGCTGGCCGGGATTGGGCCGTGGAAGCCGGCGCGGAAGCGGCAAAAGTTGCTGCCACGCGCTGTCTCAAAAATTCGCCTGCTTTGGGTGTGTGTGTGTGCGGGGACATGGGCGTGGTGTAGAGGGGTACAAAAGCCGGTTAATCCCCTTTTAAATAAGGGAAAAATATTTAAAACTAATAAAATTAACTTAAAAATTCGAAATATGAAAATTATATTTTTTAGCAAAATATTTAATAAACAATATTTTTAATATGGTTAAACAAATAAAAACAATAAATTTTAATTAATAACTAAAATGTATTTTTTTGTTTGTTAAAATTTTTGTACTTTGAATTCCTTTTAATATGCAATATTTTTGTTATGGTTGTACAAAAAAAACATTATAATATATTTAAATTAATAATTAAAATTAATTTTTTTTGTTTACTTTTTTTACTTTTAATTGTTTTTAATGGTTAACCAAATAAAAACATTCTAATATAATTAAATTAATAACTAAATGTATATTTATGTTTATTTTAAAATTTTTAATTTGTATTTCTTTTAATTTGGCAAAAAAATAAAAACATAACCCCAAAGAATTAACTCCACCACGTCCCTGTACAAATGCATGACTAAAGCGAAAAGTCATCTTTTACAAAATAATTTAAACAAATAATTAACTTATATCCCCCTACAGGCCGTGATGAAAATGGTGAAGCACTGCCACGAGGAGTCGAGCAACATGGACCTCGCCCAGGGCGCTCTGCTCGGTCTGGTGGTGGACAAGTGCCTGGAGATCACCAACTGCTTCCCGTTCCCCAAGAGCGGCGATGAGACCATGGACGAGGAGATGTACCAGCTGACCGTGATGCGCCGCCTGCGTCGCGTGAACGTCGATCATCTCCATGTGGGCTGGTACCAGAGCTCCGATGTGGGCAACAGCCTGTCGCTGGCCCTGCTGGAGTCGCAGTACCACTACCAGACCAGCATCGAGGAGTCCGTCGTGGTGGTCTACGATACGCAGAAGTCCTCGCGCGGTTTCCTCTGCCTGAAGGCCTACCGCCTGACGCCCCAGGCCATCCAGATGTACAAGGACGGCGACTTCACGCCCGAGGCATTCCGCACTCTGAAGGTTGGCTACGAGAGCCTCTTCGCCGAGATCCCCATTGTGATCAAGAACTCGCCCCTGACCAACATCATGATGAGCGAGCTGAACGAGCTGCTGCCCGAGGACAAGGGCCATAACTTCCTGGATCTGGGCACCGCCTCCGTGCTGGAGAACCAAATGCGCAGCCTGATCGAGCGCGTGGACGAGCTGTACCAGGAGGCGGTGCGCTACAACAAGTACCAGCAGGTGGTCTTCAAGCAGGATACGGTAAGAAAAATCGTTCTAAAATTAATGATCGGAGTCAAGGGTTTTAGAGCTCGATTTTTAAAAAGAGTAATACATATGGAATTAAAATTAGGAATTACTCTTAGAACAAACTAGGCAGACATGTTAAATTCAAATTCGAATTAACAAAATTAGTTAAGCTAGGAAAATATATATTCTCTCATATTAGTTTTGCGAAATTAATTCTGTTTTTTCTATTAGTTTTGAATTATTTTAATAATTAGGAATTACTTTTAGAACAAACTGGGTAGACAATGTCTTCTAGACATATTAAAAAAAATGAAATTTAAATTCGAATTAACAAAATTAGTTTAGCTAGGAAAATATAAATTCTCTCATATTAGTTTTGCGAAATTAATTCTGTTTTTCTATTTATTAGTTTTGATTTTTTTTTTTATAATTAGGAATTACTTTTAGAACAAACTGGGTAGACAATGTCTAATGGACATGTTAAAAAAATGAAATTTAAATTCCAATTAACAAAATTAGTCAGGCTAGGAAATATTTTAAAATATTCGGAACATTAATTTTTCGTATTGTTTTATTTTTGTATATTTTTGTAAAACCTGAAATAGAATTTGTAAAAATAAATTTGGTTTATGAAGGTTGGGCATTTCTACATTAAAATATTGAAATATTTGTTTTTAATTCCATTTTTAAAATGAATAAAAATAATTATAAACATTTTTTTGTACCCTTACCATGTTATAAAATTATTAAAGGTGATAGAAAGTGCCTATTAAGAACCCAATTTTCATAACTAATATTTTTTAATATTCTTTAAATTAATTCCTCTTGTTTTGTTTAATTTTCCAGGAGAAGCACCGTGCTTTGGCCAAGTTGGCCGCCGAGAACGCCGTTCGCACCTCGAAGGGCGAGCCCACGGTGGCCGAGGAGGAGGTGACCAAGCAGTTCCGCCCCATGCCCGTGCCCGCCCGTCTGACGGCCACCATTACCTCGGGCCAGATCAACACCCACGCCCAGCACATCGCCCAATTCTGCTCGCAGTCGCTGGCCAAGCTCTTCATCACCGAATCCCTGCAGAACGCCAAGGAAGCCAAGGAAATCAAGTAGACTACTAGCTAATGTTAAACGTTTTTTTAAACTGTGGCAACGAGACACATTCATAATTCACCAACATAGCATCTGCGCTCACTGATGGCGAAAATAAACCAAAACACAGCATTGAGTGTGCTCGGAAGCGAATTTTGCCAGCTGACTATTCTCTTTACTGTAATCTGCATAGAAAATTGGTATATAATGCGCCCCCCAAAAAACAACCACCCATTGTAGCGCCGGCTTTGGTCTTGCGCACATCGGTTGTTTGGTTTTCAGTTTTCAATCACATTTTCCGGGGGAGTGTTGCAGCCGCTGACGACATCAACGCACTTTTCGCAGGAGCTGCTTATCCTATTTGGTTTGTTCCGTTTTTTGCTTCGCGTTTTGCTAACCCGCTTTGAATTAGCCATTAAGTATATTACTAACCCAATGGCAAAATGCTATCCTACGACCTCAACGAACGCCTGCTGACTGCCGTGCAGAGTGGGGATTTTGAGCAGGCGCTGGGCTGCATCATGCAAGGTGCCCAGGCCTCGTATGTATCGCCCACTTGCGGACGCACAGCCGTGGGCACAGCGGCTATTCTGGGCGACGCCGAGCTGCTGGAGCTCCTGGTGCAGTCCTGCGAGGAGCCCGAGCTGGATGTCTTCCATCAGTGTGAGTTTTCCACGAGTGACTCGTGAGGGAAACACTTCCGGTGAAATAAAATAAACAAGATATACTTTCGGAAAAAAATTATAAAAGTATTCAAGTGCAATTGTGGTTATCACAAAAAAGTTTACAAATGGCAAAAGATATTTTTTCTGGAAAAGCGTGGCTTAAATGGTCAGAAAGTTTTCCATCAGGTGAACAACAGCTGGCCGAAATAAAATCGATAGAGAAATGGAAGGGGCTCGTCTCCCGAAAATTAATTTGAAAAACTATACAATTTAGGATTCTTATTTTTTAAAAAAAGATTTGAATTTAATTTTAACATAATTAAATATTTTAATATAAATTAAATATTTTTTTTTTAAATATTTATAAGCAAATGACCTTTATAGTTTAAATAATTCAAGCGAAATTCTTTTTTAATTATTTATTTAAAACAAATTTTATTTTATTTTAAGATATGTAAACATTTATTATTTAAATCATCTTATTTTGTCTTATTTTTTAAAAAATATTTATGAGCTATTGACCATTTAAGTTTAAATAATTCAAGTAAAATTCATTATTATCGAGGCTATTTGTATTTATAATTTAAATTTTATTTATTATATTATCTTTTTGTGTAGTCATTGACCTAAATTGACCGGAACTTGTCTCTTTTCGGCTGTCCAGCATAATGCAAGCGCAGAGAAAACCCAAATGTTGGAGGTCGAGAGCGGAAACCGGTTATCGTGATTTGTTCTCTAGCTGATAACAGTTGGAAAATGGCCAAGAGAGTTCAGTTCCAACTGCAGTAGACCGTGTGAGTGCTATGTGGCAAAAACTGAGCTCGAAAACTGTTCAAATAAAGTAACCAATTCAAATATTTGTAAAATGTAACCTCTATAATTTTGATTTCTCAATTGTTATATATTCTTTAAAATAAATTCCAGCTCACACGGATAATCTGGAGATCGAGCGAACGCCCGAAGGTATGGAGAAACTTGAGTGGGTGGATGAGTTCGAAAGTTGTTCTGAAAATGGAGGAGGCGGAGGAGGAGAAGAAGAGAGTCAGCTTTATCAGTATTACGCAAAAACCTTCGAGAATACCGGAGAATTCATATCCCAGTGCTGTGTCTCCTGTCGCGAGCAGGATCCCCACCTATACGATGCGGACTTGGCCACTCCTCTGCACTATGCCGCCTGTTGGGGTCACGAGGAGTGTGTAAAAATCCTCCTCGAACACAGTGCTCCCATTAATGTCGTAAACAGCGAAGGATATGCTCCCTTGCATGTGGGAGCGGGATTCGCCGGGGTCACCAAGCTACTGATCAAACATGGAGCTTTGGTCAATGCCAAAACCCTGAGTGATGGCAAGACCGCTCTGCATGTGGCTATTGAAAGTAAATCCCCGGAATCCGCCAGGTTGCTGCTCCAAACGAATATCAATATCAATGACACGGATGACGAGGGTGAGACCCCGCTGATGACGGCCATAGCCTGCAGTTTGGTGGATCTGGCCAAGGAGCTGGTGGAACGAGGAGCTCGGATAAACCTTCAGGATAAGCAGAATCACACGGCTTTGCAGTATGCGGTGCGGGGTCGTCATGGCCAGATGGCCAAGTTGCTGCTGGAGCGAGGAGCTCGGCGACTGGCCTCCCAACATCTCCTTCATCTCGCCGTGGAGTATGATGATCGGGAGATGGTGGAACTTCTGCTGCAGTACGGCGAGAGTTTGTCGGTGAGGGATGGTGATAACTACACGCCCATCATGCTGGCCATCCATCTGCAGCGGCCCGAAATGCTGGAGTATCTTCTTGAAGCAGCTGAGGAGCATCGCCGGCTGGGTCTCTATTCGGATGTCCAGGATGAGGGTCTGGTCCTGTTTGCCGTGCAGCAGATCGTTTGTGTAAAGGAGTTTCGGAGTATCCTTCGTGTATTACTCGCCAAATTACCAAGTGCTCGTCGGGATTTGTATGGCTCGTGTGCTCCCACAATCGTTTGCGGCCTGATCTACTGTCAAACTCCTTTGTCCAGAGCTATTAACCTGCATCGCCTGGAATTAGCAGAGTTACTCATACACGAGGGCTGCAATATGGCGCAGATTTGCCGGGAGCATGTGGTCAACGAGCTGAGATACAATTGTTCGCCTTCTAGTCTCTCCTTTGCGAGATTACTCTGTAAGTTGGGATCTTAATTCTGTAATTTAAAATAGAGCCCTGCGTGAATCATTCAATTTTTGTTTTATCATAGTATGCCTTGAAATTTCTGATTGGTTTAATTCTGTTCTATGTGAAATAAATTGAATGTTTTTCTAATTTATTTCGAAAGAATGAATTAATGAATAAATGAATAATTTGTATGAATTTTTTGAATTTGCCAGATTTTTTTTGTGATTTCTTTTGAGAACAAAAAGTGGAAAATTTTTAACAAATCAGTGTTAACTGCTTAGTAAATAAAATTCAGGAAAATTTAATCACAAAATTATGGCCTTTTCTCCTTCAAAAGAAATTGTCGTTTGAATTCGTTCTCAAAATAAACTCAAAATTCTAATTAATTCATTCATATAAAACAAAAAATTCAAAATAATTTATTGAATCCATTCATGCAGGGCTCTAGTTGGGAACTCTATTCTGTAATTTATAATATAAAATATTAATTATTTTACAGGCCACACGGGCTTCCAGTTCCCGCACAAGCATCGAGCTTTGCCCAAGGATTGGCCACCTGCCCGCCAGGAATTCGAGCGAGTAATGTCTCTATTTGGCACTCAACCACGATCTCTGCAATCTCTTGCTCGCCTGGAGATACGCGAGTGTCTCGGCAAATCCCTCCGAACGCGGCCAGAGATACAGCAAAGGTATCTGCCTACACGAGAACGATCATCGCTGGGCAGGATCGTAGATGAGTTCGCCATACCCGCCACCCTGAAGCTCTACCTCAGCGACTTTGCCGAGCTTCCCCTGGTGAGGGGATCGGAACAGGCACAGCTACCTGTTATAAGATGCACAGAGTCTTGGGATTGATTGCGCTTTAGGAGTTTATTCAGATTATATAGGTTTTATATTTATGGTTATATGGTATGTAGCATATAGGTTTTTTGTATATTGGCGTCGAGTGTGTAGGAAGGTTGTGTAAAATACGATTTAGGACTTTATTATATTTTCCTTAATTCTGCAAAACCTTCTTCGTTACACGACTCTGTGATATTAATTTTCTTATCCATGTACTACAAAGTTTTTAACAGAATTTCCACACAAATTTCGTACCTTCCTGTGTTTTAATCCCTTGTCTAAATTACTTGCACATTTCATGTTTACTATTCATGTTAATAGTCTATTTAGATGATTTCTTTTAAATGATGTATCCACTAGGTTATTTGACTAAGCCAACGTTAAGATTACTTTTCCATTTTTATACAATCGATCTCTCACACAATGCAAACCGAAAAAAGAACGTTTGCTGTTTTTAAAGTAGGATTTTACAACGATATCGGGTGCAATTTTATAGAAAACGTGTTAACAGACTTAAAAAACAAAATAAAGTTTTAAAGAGAAAACATTTTAGTGCTTAAAGTATAATAAAGAATACATTTATGCTCATTGTGGGGAATGAGAAAGCCCTTTTAGGGCTTCAGCAATAGCTTAAAGTCATCATTGGCGTTCTCCATGATGTACTCAAATGCGATTTTATCCTTTTTATCCTTGACCAGCTTAAGTGTCGGCTCCTTCTGCAGCAGAAGGCGACACACCTCCAGGTGGCCACGCATGGCTGCCCGATGCAAAGCACTCTGTCCGCACTCGTCCTGCAGCAGAAGATTCGCCTTGTGCTCGGCCAGTAGCTTAACAATCTCCAAGTGGCCTTGCAAATCAAATATCTAATAGTACTCATTGGAAAATAAATTTAAATGGAGCTTGTCTTACCCATCATAGCTGCGCGATGCAGGGAGGTGGCTCCCGCCTTGGTCACAGCATTCACATCCACTTTGCCCTCGTCGAGGAGCAGCTTGCAGATGGGCACGTTGCCATTGCGGGCCGCATAGTGCAGAGCCGTATAGTCGCAGTCATCGCGAGCCATGGCCTGGCCCTTCTTGATGAACTCCCTCACACGCTCCACCTCGTTGTAGATAGCTGGAAGGAAAGGTAATAGGTTAAAGCTTCTGACACCCATGTTAAAAACATGAAAAATTGTATTTTACAGTAATTAATTGTTAGCACAAACATCTCACTTGTGTTTTTTTACACAATGTGTTATTAGCATGACGTGTTTTTTACACACTGTGTTTTTAACACAAATGAAAATTACATTTCACATTTCCAATATGGGCCATATGTTAGTTATAACCATTTCAAAGCTTATATGAATTATTATACTCTAGAAAAACGTGAATTTTTCAGTTCAACATACAATCCGGACTCTTTAATGTCAAAAACTCATTGTGTTAAAAACACGCTGTGTAAAAAACACAAATGACATGTGTGTGTTATTTATGTTTCCAACATATGTAGAATACAATTTTTTACACACAAGTAAATAACTTTTTTTTAACTTAACACTTTGACATTTAACATGTTAATAACACAAGTTTTTTAAAGTGTGTGTTATTTTCCGAAATCTGCTATAAACCTTATTGTAGAAGGCCAATCCCTACCTGCATTCCAGATGCCTCGATCGAAGTCCATGTCGCTGAGCGTCTGCTGTGCCGGCTGCGTTTGCTTGTGGCACTTGCAGTTGTCCGCGCTATGTGGATCCATTTTAGCCTTTTTTCTAGTTAATTTCGAGTTGGGTTTCCTTGACTTTCCTTGTGCTTTCCAGTTGTTCGATGCCTATGAAGCTTATTTGACAGTGTGATCCTGGGTAACCAATTAGACCTCACGCTGCATGGTCCAGCAAATCTCGGCCTCGCCGCAACTGCAGACAACCTTGTAGCTCAGCTGGGCCAGAGTGTTTAGCATTACCATGGGCGGCACTGCCACCATAATACCATTGACGCAGGCCTTAACTCCGCTCTCGAAGCGCTTGGACAGGGCTTGAACTTCCGCCTGGTTCAGGCCAAAGATGGTGCAAGTGTAATCGTGCAGCGAGCCCTTGACCGTAATGTATGCGAAATTGCCCTCGGACTGCAGGATGGGTACGGGAATGGTCACTACATTCGCTGCAACGGCTGCGGTGGTGTTGGTGGTGGCGGCGTTTAAGGATACTGCCGATGCCGCGGTCACAATTGCCGGAGGTAGCTCGCTGTTGAGATTCTGAGACTCCTTCACACCGGCCACGCCCTCACTCATAGTTCGTTCGTCTTTCGGGGACTCGGTTGGTCGCCTCCTTCTTCACTCGAGAACAGTATGTTTTGGAACAGTATTCCCTAGGTTACTATAGTTTTGTCCACACTTAAAAAACACGCACACACGTTGCACACACAATTCATACACACAAAATTATACAATTAGAGTAGAGTTTGTTTGGTTGATTGCTAGCTTGTTTAGACAGATTCCTTATTCAGGGGAATCCACCTTGTGATAGTTGCCTAAACTGGCTGCCTCGCGGCCAATATTCGATAGGTTCTCTCGCACCACGGACTCAGCTTCAAGGGGTTCCGGTTCGTCGAACTCCTTGCGCATCGTCCACATATACTCGTTGTAGTCCTGCTTCACGGCCGTCGATGAGCTGGCCACCACGCGAAATCCCAGGATCTGAAAGAGAAAATGAAGTAATCCATGAGTCACTGAGTTATTGAAGGTAAGGTTAGAGGTTATCCTTTGTTGGTTCAATGAAGTAATGAAGTTATCAGAAGGCATTTACTTGGAATTCCTCCCTACATTTCACATTTTTAGAATGTCTGATAAAAACTTGTAGAACTGATAAAATAATGGTGTGTCAGTAGATAGTATTTAATCTATACCAAATTTGTCCGTTATCTTTCAAGTTTTTTATTTTTTCCAAAAGTTTTAACAATATAAATAATTCAAACTAAATATTAAATTTATGATAGTTACTATGTTTTTATAAACATTATTAGTTTCAGTTCTGATTTCCAAAGAATTATTTATACTAGTTACTTAAGCAGGGTATAGTTGGTAGTAAAATATAGTATATAAAATCATACTATCTATTTTTATAGTACCTCTATATAGTTATTACTACACAGAACTATCAGATTGATATGTGCAGGTTAATTTAATATCATTTTGATATGAATAAAGATTATGTTTATTTTATTTTACAATATTTGTTGAAATAATACTAAATTTGGTATTTTAAAACCATATTTTTAGAACTTCTATGAAATGATAAAACATCAAATTGATATGTTTAAATCATAAATTTGACATTAACCATATCGGCTGTTTAAATCATAAATTTGACATTAACCATATCGGCTGCAATTTAGATTGATGTAAAACAAGGTGAAAATGACCCTACTTCATATCTAATTTTTTTTCTGTGTACTAATTAGGCTAGGATTACTCACTTCTAGCGCCGATAGAATCCGACAAGGATGCACTAGGTAGACGATGGTGGACTCGTCACTGTAGCCGCCGCAAGAGAACTTGTTCAACTGCTCGATGTCGTCAGCTGAAAGAAGAATTTACGTTGGAATGGGCAATGGTTATCAGGGGTGCTATTTCTTGGGAAATTGCTTTCCCTTTCCTCTGGTTGGTGTGGCTAAATGTTTAAACAGGGCAAACAAAAAGATAGATAACACCGTTTGGCTTGGATAATGACGTCAGCCCAGGGCCATTGTCTTTTTGGTGTGAGTGTACTAATTAAGCGAAATGGCAAACAAATTATTGACTGCTGTTTCATAATAAACGAACAAAAAATGGGAGTTTCTCGTGTGTGTGTTCTTTGTGTCTATTATCTAGATCCCAGTGCATTGACTTCTGCCCAGAGCACAGATAAAAGTTCCATAAATATGCACCGGAATTAAGTCGATATAAATATGTGGTGTACGTACATACGGGTGTATATCTATATATTATATGTATATAACTGCAGACCCGGTCGGCCAAGCGAACTGCACGCAGCGAAAAACAAAACAAAACTGACGAAGACCTCGTCTGCGGGACAAAACTTCGCACAGTGCCGGTCGTAAAAAGAGGAACGGTGCGGGAAGGCGGGTTCCTGGGGGCCAAATGGCATGCAATTAAAGGGCAGCTGTTGATTTTATGGGGAAAAAAAAATAACTAAGGCTAAGTGCTAAAATATTGCACAAGATTTATTTGTTAACCGAAAGTTTTAGATTTTTGGGGAAGTATTGATATATTTTCAATCTCTGTTTATATCAAGATTAAAAAATTATTATTTTTTAACTCCGTTTTAATAATTATGTGCAAACGATATATTTAATCCACAAATTTAAATTTGTTTCATTAAAGATCTCGTACACAAATTCTAATTTTAATTAATCTTCTAACAATTAGATTTGAAATAAGCAGGCATAATATATTGACGACTATTGTGTATTCAATCTAAAAATGTTTGATAGTCTCAAAAAGTGTAGGTCACAAAAAAACAAGTGTTTTCAAGATAAAGCAAGAGCCCATGCAACAAAAGCGCAGCTTTAATAAGAAACCTACAAAAACCAAGAAAAAATTAGGATAAATTCAGAAAAATCACAACTACTGGCAAGCTACATTTGCCGTCACTGTGTAGCCATTCAAAAAAAATTTTTTCGTAGTGCAAAGTGGAAAAACCGAAGCTAACGCTTAAAAAGCTAGCGTGATGTGCTCGTATGGGTGGAAAGTATCTGTGTGTTCGTATCTGTTTGGCAAACTCTCGAAATTAATTGTGTCGAAACAGTAAACAGACGACAAAATAAAAGCGAAACGAAACGAAGATGTGAGATATTGTATCTACGGGACTGACTGAACGGTCGTTACCTTTCAATCCGGAGACGAGCACTCGCCATGGATATTTGTGGCTGTAGGAGGCTAAGTTCCCCCGTATGATAATGTACGGCATTTGGCCTGATTACTGCTGGATATCTTCGGATTAATTAGCGCGGGCGTGCCAACGAAAAACCGTAAAACGTAAGTGAAAAAAACAAATGAGTTATAAACGGCAAAACCGAAACTTTGGGGGGGGTAAGTAAAAAGCTCGCTGTTGCGCTGCTGAAGGTTGACTCTCGACTGAAACCGAAATCGGGTTCCACGTTTCGACCAAGAGGTTTTCCCAGCGTTAGCTTAACTGTTGTGGTTTTTCTTTTTTTGTTATAGGCGTCGCGCAGCGTGGCTCTCTGAAATGGTTAGCAGCTTTTTATTGGATTAGCCTACGGTGTAAGGTGGCAGATACCCAAATGACAAAGTGACGCATTCGGCCAGGATAATCATCCAAGCGATATGCAATATGTGCTAGCCAACGGCAAGGGCGGAAAATATGAAGGGGATTAATGAATTTTGTGTAAAAGAGTAAATATATCTACATTTAATAGATTTGCATTTGTCTTTCGTTTGTCGAAAATTTTTAAGATATATTTCAATATTTTAATTCCTATAAAATTTGGGCTTAAAATATAATAATAACGATTTTTTTAGGTTTGCGTTTTAACGAATAAATACATGAACAACCTTCGAAGAAAAAATTTTATCAGTTCTTTTTTGTAACGGATTTTTATATTTCATATATATAAAACTCGAACTTTTTGCTGTTTTATAATTATACCACAGCCAATATTTTGAGTTTATTTTTACAATCAATGTAGACGGCATTCCACGTAGTGACGAATCGCACCGGTAGTGTAAGCGAGGAAATTACTATATTTAGTCGCTTAATAAATCATTTTTAAGTTAATATTTAGCCAATTAAAAATAAATGTCAATATAATTTTTAAATATTAAAAATTTAGAAAGCAAACTGTTTTCTATACTTTTTCAACAATTAAAGAAAAACTCAAGCTCAGAAAAAATAAAATGGAAATTTTCCGGATACCATTACCCCAATCCCCCTGGAATTCGACTGACGACACCCCTGTGCGGCTCTCATTCTCCCTCGCCATAAAGTCGTTCCCCGCGACCAGTTGCATGCCAAGCTTTCGTCAGGGACTATAATTACTGACCTGACCGGTCGACTAATGAGTAAGTATTTCTGTTGCTCGGCGCCCAGTGGAAATAATGATAAAATAAAAATAAAAGTCCAACCGAGCCGGTCAACAACTCCTACACAAATACTTTAGCAAGGGACTAGCACACACACAAGCACAAACATAGTCCTGCCAAAAATACACGCACACCCATTTGGCTGGAGTGTCCTTTGCGTGTTTGGGGCCCACAAAGTGAACGTAAATTATGATCAAATTTCCAAATAAATAAACGCGCGGCTCCAAACGAGGTTTATGCCACACAGCTGTCGCAAAATGATGTCATTTGAATTTAATCATCTCCGATTTCCTTTCTTTTCTAGATGTTTTTTATTTTACCCTGAGTCGCAGTTTCTTTTCGATTTTCTATGGTATAGCTCACCTGGTCCTCTTATTGGGCTATACCTGTAGGTAGCCTGAACTTCCTTTGTTCTAGCAGTAATTTACCTTTTAATTACTTTATTTTTCCTTAATTGCGGAGAGAAAAACAAAATCCAACAAATTTGCAACTTTGTAACTCACGGTTATATCGATATATCGAAGTTTTGGGTCGATAGTAAACGATATTTGGAATTTGTGATAGAATTTTCTATTTACCCACTGGATTAAATTAAATTAAGGACCAATAAACGAGTTTTTATTTCATTTATAATTTTAGAAACAATACTATCGTATAAAACAACAATCGCTAGTTACAATTTTAAACTGTGCAGTGTTGTTAAGTGTTCGAGGCTATATCGATAAATCGATAGGCAAACGGTTATGTATCGCTAGGGGTTACACTGTTCGCTTCTCCGTTTTTTTATTGTCAGCAAAAATAAATAAACGTATATTTACCTAGAATGAAATACATATACTAGATAGTGAATTAAGTTAAGTGCAAACAATGTACCCCTGTACGTAGAAGCAAAGGCCTCAAGATAAATGTTAGTAGTTAAAGATATCCAAGAGTGACAATCGAAGCCAACAGCTGTCGGTCTGCTGGGTGGGTATTTAAATTCGAAAGATAGATTTTTCGACTGACATTTGCATATTTCAGAGGCTGGCGAAAGGTGAACTGAGGTCATTGTATTGTTGGACCATTACGTGTCCATCCGATCTTCTTCGTGCATTTCATATTCCTCCTCATCCCCCTCCCCATCCCCATCCACTCAAGTGCTCGGGAAGCTGCCAAAAAAAATAATCAAAAGAAAACGAGAAACGCGCTGCTCGGCATAATCAATTAAAATGCCTAGGAATATGCCGCTCCTCCCGCTGGCCCTGTGTGCCGTCGCCCTCCTGGCCGCCGTGGGTCCCATGCCCGCCAACGGGGCGGTGGCCAACAGTCACAAGCACGAGAAGCATCTCAGCAAGGAGCGCGTCAAGGACGGCATCTACGCCCCCCGGGACGCCCATCATCACGGCCCGGATGGCGAGCACAACTCGGAGTTCGACCACGAGGCCATCATAGGTGAGTCAGCGCTAGGAAATAAGATCATCATCATCCATTCAGGGGGAACTCATAAAACTGAGAATCTAGTGGTCACTGTAAGAAACACTTGTGGAAACTTTTTCATAATTTATTTTAAACAAATCCAAATATTTCAATTTTACTCATTTAGACAAATTAAATTTTGATTGTTTTGAAATATATACAACAAAATTTCTAGTTTTTTGAATCATAACTTATGATTCATTAGGCCCAATATTCAACCTACCAAAAAAAAAACATAAAAAAATTGTATTATTCTTTTAAAAATAAGTGACATATTTCTAAATTTTTACCATTTTTTTTAATGATGAAAATTTATACCTATTTTTGGAAAAACGATAGTAAATTTTTCTTTAATTTATATTTTTTTATATTTTTAAACATGTAGATAAGTGTTAAGTTCTTAGGCACAGAATACATTTTTTAATTTTTTTGCAGTGTATGCTTTAGCAATATTTTTTGTTTACTTGCCGTTGGTTTATTTTTGTGGGTCTGCACATGGAAAGAATCATTCAAACATCAGAGAATATGGTTCAGTCATACATATTCAAATTTATGAAAAATGTGTTTTATGTCTAATGCTAATAGCCGATTTTGCATATCATAAAAAAAGGATTTTCGAATTCAAAAAATTCAAGAAAAAATCATAATTTTTAAAATTTTACCTTTTTTTAATATTTAGAGTAAGTATTATTTTTATTTTATACCGCGCTTTCCGCACAGTGTTTTCCTTGTAAAACCATTAAAATAGTTTTCCGAAAGGAACACGTCAATGAAATTGCTTCTGTTTAATGTACCATTCAAATCTTCACGCTTATGTACTATTATGATTTTTTAAAAATACTAGGCAATACGAAAGAGGCTCAGGAATTCGACACACTCACGCCGGAGGAATCGAAGCGACGTCTGCTGATACTGGTCAAGATGATGGATCTGAATAAGGACGAATTTATTGACCGGCACGAGTTGAAAGCCTGGATATTAAGGTCTTTTAAGTGAGTGTTGTCTGTTGATTAATACTGCATCGATGTTAGCCAAGCCAATAATCTCTTGGGCAATTGTAAATGCTTTGAGCTTGCTTCAAAAAAATTAAAAAAAAAAGAAAACATATATTTAAAACCTTAACTAAAATACAAAAAATTAAACCTTGTAGAAAACTATCTGAGGAGGAAGCCGCTGACAGATTTGAGGAAATAGATCAGGATGCGGATGAGAAAATAACGTGGAAGGAATACCTACAAGACACCTACGCCATGGAGGACGAGGACTTTAAAAAGGAGACCATCGACTATGACAGCTACGAGGATGAGCAGAAGATGATCAAGCAGGACAAGGAGATGTTCAATGCGGCCGACGCGAATAAGGATGGCGTGCTGACCCTAGAGGAGTTTGTCTACTTCCAAAATCCCGAGGAGCATCCACAAATGTTGCCCATCCTGCTGGAGCACACGATGCAGGAGAAGGATGTGGATCACAATGGCAAGATTAACTTCCAGGAGTTCGTAGGCGATTCAGCCTCGCAGCACGACAAGGAGTGGCTGATCACCGAGAAGGAGCGATTCGACAAGGATCACGATACGAATGGAGATGGGGTGCTCACAGGTGATGAAGTTTTATCCTGGATTGTGCCAAGTAATACGGCGATTGCCACCGACGAAGTGGATCACCTGTTCGTGTCCACCGATGAGGATCACGACGACAGGCTGTCCTACCTGGAAATACTCAACAACTACGACACCTTTGTGGGCAGCGAGGCCACCGATTACGGCGACCACTTACAGAACATCAACCATCTATCCGACGAGCTGTAGATCCCACAGCCAATCGCCAATCGTGCTATAGTAAACCTGTGCTTAGTATTGTATTTCACTTAATTTAGTTAGTAAATTTATGTTTTATTTATGTAAATCCAAATCAATATCGCTAAATTGTTTTGAGCGCTTCTTACGAATTTCATTTTCATGTCGTATGTTTGGTTTCTCATTTACCAATTACATTATGTGTAGTAATTTATATAGACACCAAAAAAACTACTACAAAATAATAAATCATTTCTACTAAATAATTTGTAGTGCTGAACTTTTACATGTGCTTAAAAGTTTTTACAGTTTATTTGCAATACTTGACTAGAAACGTTGCCGTCTGATTAGATTACATTAATTAAGCTGCAATTGCCGACTGCGATTATACAAAATTAGTTTAGCAGCGTGTTCTTTTTGACTAGATTTCACACTCGTCTGTACCGAAAAATATGCTTAGCTCTAAAGTAATTATTTTGCGGTTATATAGCAAGCACTTGAAGCCCCGAAAATACGATTCTATTTACTCTCATTCCTTATATCACAAATATTGCACCGAATTGGCCTATTTCCCCACACATATTTTTGCTAAAAATTCTCAACAGAAAGCTAAAAACAAAACTGAAATTTCGGATTACCTCGATAAATCCTTGGTTCTTAACAATACACTCTTTTACAACTATTACGAGAAATTTACATGTCCCTGAGGCACACTGCATCGTCTGCGGATGCGGAGTGCACTCCACTTTGATGGCACAAAAACAGATTCACGGGCCGCTTACAAATCATAATTCATGATGCACATCTCCAGCTCATTTACCTGGGGGCGGTTTAAGGACGTACTCTATAAACTTAATCTTAACTGTGGGATCATCTACAAATCGCACAGTATATCGTAATTGTCTACCTGACGCAGGGGCTCCATTTCGTCTATAACCTCGCCCAGATAATCACTGATGGGCAGCGGTAGCTTCAGCTTCTCCAGCTGCGATGAGCTGCGCACCCTACGCATTATTACCGCCCGACAGCGATCCTGGAGATTGACGAATTCCCTACGGGTGCACTTAAGGGTCATCTCCGTTTTGGCCGCCGTGGAGCAGACAATGGGGTACAGGGGCTCATCAATCTGGAGGGGATTAGAAGGGCAGGCTTAGTTACAGTTTAAAATAACATTTATAGCAGTGATGGCCCATGGGATAGCGAATTTCTCTGCCGCTGCGCTGTTTTGGCGCTCACGTACGCTGTAATTCATTCATTGCATCTCCGCTGCTTCTGCTGGCCACCACTGATCTTTAAGGACATCTCACCTGATCCAATCCCCTGAAGGCTACGCCCAGGCACCGGCCATCCTTGTAGTAGGTGAGTGTGCCCTCTATCCCATCGAAGAGCACTCCTATCTGGGTGGGATGGTTTTCGCGGAAGCGCTTCGTGTACAGCAGGGCCACGCCCTTGTGCCACAGGACGCCCTTGTGCGAGAGTCCCCAGCCGTGCTCGTTCTCGCCCAGCATATTCCGAAAGGCATTGGCATGTAGCCTCGCGGACTTGGTACCAATTCCAAACATAATCGAGGTGCCAAAGACCCGCTGCGAAACGTGTAGCTCCCAGTAGTAGCGACCGTTGTTCAGGGACCGCTTGCCCTGAACGCCGGCGGTGCCCTTGCTCCAGTTGGGATGGAAGTGCACCGTTCGGGAATTGGGTCCACTGAGCACCACCTCCTTGGACCGGTGCCGCTTACTCCACGTCCAGTTATCCTCGACGCCCTTGGACAGTGGACAGAATCGATTAAGCGGCGATGAGGAGGAGGAGGAGGAAGAGGATGAAGCTGCCTCCTGCGAGGAGGAGGACTGCATGGCCAGGCAGCCAGCTCCTCCGCGGCGACCGCGACGCCTCCTCGGTGCTATCGCCACCACCGGATGTGACGGCTGCTGTGGCGGATCCACTTCCACATCAGACATTGTGTTTTGTTTTGTGACTAGAAATTTTTCGCCTCTCAAACTCAAAACGGAAAACAAAGGGAGCACTTCAAAGCGTTTCGGGGGATGTGGCCTGCTGGGGGTGGTTGTCCTCCGTTCGGTCTTTCAAGTCGATGGAATTGATTAAGGAGCGGCTTCAGGGGTTGCGTCTTTAGCTCGTGAGGTCCTCTTCTCGATGACAGCTTAAGGGGGAAGCTCGTTCTTCTAGTGGTTAACTAGCCGTTAGCTAGTCTATTCCTTTTTCTTCTAAATTTACCTCTTAGGTTTCTTTGGTGACTAGGATTAGTTTAAGGGTTCCTTTTTAAAGGCAAGTTTGTAGATTTTTTAAGTGGTAACTTTCCTGGTAGATAATATTTTGACTTTGTGGGTTAACCATTGGTTAAGGGTAGGTTAAGACCTCCTCGGGAAGTTGCTGCTAAAGGAGTGGGCTTTCTTCCTGCTGTTGAATTTCTCCTTTTCAAGGCAAGTTCGTAGATTTTTTGAGTGGCAACTTCCCTAGTAGATTTTCTTTCCAATTTGTAGGTTAACCATTGGTTAACTATAGGTTAACCTCTTTGGGAAGTTCCTGCTAAAAAAGTGGGTTTTCTTCTTGCTGTTGAACTTCCCCTTGCAGCTCCTGTGGTTCTTTCTCCTCCAGTTTAATCTCCTCTAGACTCTCCTGATCCAAAGAGGCCTCCTCCTCGTTCTCCACCTGCTCCTGAGAACCAAAAGTGGTCAACGAAGCGTAGCCACTGCTCAGGGAACTGCTGCTCCAGCTGGAATTCAGTCGATAGCTCCTCACCGGCTGCAGTTGCTGTTGCTGCTGACCTATAGTCCTCTTTAGCTCCCGCTTGATCCTCCGGATCTGCCGGAAATCCTGCTCACCACGACCCGAACCCCTTTGCCTGTGCAGCTGCAGTTCCTGCAGGTGAAAGTGATGCCGGCAATAGCCCTGCGGACTGTGGGCACAAAAGCGACAGGCCTCGGAATTGGCTCCACCGACCAGCGGAAGGATGGGCTCGAGGATGCGGCGCTTCTGGCTGCGCTTCTGTTGCTCCAACTGCTGCTCCGCCAGGCGCTGCGGTGCCTTACGATCGCCCACCGTCTCGGCCACCTCCTGGAGCAGACGCACGTTCCTCGGGAAGCATCGGTCGTGGACGTAGAGCACCAGGCGTTGGCAGTAGCGGCAGAGCGATTGGAACAGCAGTAGCAGCACGATAATCATAAATACAGGGGTTGAGTCTGAGTTTTCAGTTTTTTCTTTGGGGGGTTGCTGCTGCTTTTGATTCTAGAGGGGATTTGGGTGCACTTCCGGTGACTTTGTGGCCTCTTCAACTTCTTGGTTTGCCTTAATTTCAGTTCTCCAAAGGTAACACGTAATTTTCACTCTTTCTTTCGGGGTACACACATTTTTTTCTTGGTTCAGCTGCTGCTCCTCCACCTCTTTTGGACTCCCAAAAGCTGCTCCGCTTATCTGCCTGATGGTTCAACTCCCACCGACGACCGCCACCGCTTGCGTCCAAGTCTCACTGGCTTCTGGTGTCCAACTCAACTTGCTCACTGCTTCCCAACCTGAAGCCACAAAGGCCTACCCTTATTTTTCTTCCAACCACCAATTGGAATATGTGCGTGCGTGTGTGTGTCTGCATATCATTATCATATGGTCTTACATCCCTCGACTCCAATCGCCATTGCCACCCCCTGGGAGAACCCAACCCCCACTAGAAATCCGGATGGAGAGCGAAAGGCATGCGCACAAGTGCACGTGGTGAGTTTTCGTTTTTCGTTCTCTCTTCTTTGCCTTGGCATTGCTTTTTTAAGGGCTCTCCAATAGGGGGTTTTCCACCACAACAACTACCCTGAACCCTTGCCGCACGAAGAAGATCTAATCATTTAGGGTTAGGGGTACATTATAAAGCACAAAAGTTTTTAAATCTTTGTCTGGGATATCGATTCGAAAACCAAGGAACTACACATTTTTCAGATCTTAATAGACTTATGGGGTTCTTTCATAAGAAGTATCTATTACATAAAAATAAGCCGAACGATAATATCGAAATCTTGAGTAAGGCTATGTAGATTTCCTATTTCAAAAATCTATTATGTATTTATAAATTTTCTTTATTTTACCATTTTTTGTTTGTTTCATAAACGTAAACAATAAGCGACAAAGTTGTGTATAGCAGTTGAGGAGACGATCTAAGTCAATGGATTCGTTCGATAATCATTTTATATGTATGGTGCATAAAATTCGCATTTAATCGGGTTTTTAATCAGAAATAAAATGGAACATGCTCGCGCATAATAATATTTTGTAATATTTTTCGACATACCACCGAGGCTAGTTTATTTATTTGTTTGATTTACTTAACTTACATACGTAACTTAGAAGCAGTTTATTTGTTTAGAACATTAATTGGCAGATAAAAAAATGGCATTGTGGTCCGGGTCTGTAAATAGCACTTCGACCGGTTTATCCGTTTTTTTCTTTTTTGGTTAGTTTAAGGAATTTGTAGCAGTGTTGGTTCTTCGTCGGTGTTTTTGTTTGTTTGTGTTGTGAGTGTGTGAATGGTTCACACACACACACGGTTCGTTGGTAAATTTAAGGCTTTACATTTAGATTAAACTTATGCTGTGTGTGCTGTGTGGGCGTCTGTGGGGTGGGTTGGGGTGTGCTACTACTTAGAGGTCCTACGACGAGTTCTTCATGCACACCTGGCACCTGGACACATGCGACTGCCGATCGCCGGCCTTGATCGTCTGCATCTGGGGCCGATCGAACGGCTGTGTGCTCTCCAGGTTGAACATCCAGAAGCTGGTCATTGTCTCGTAGAAGTGGCACGTGCCCTTGCCGCCGTTGCACTCGATGAAGGGCGTGGCGCGGAAGTCCTCCAGACAGGATCCAGGCGATTGCAGCGCCTGTCCACCGCCTCCGTTGCCCACAGCAGTGTGCTATGAAATTAAATTGGAATAAAGAGATTGGATTAAAAAAGTTGTCTTCTTAAATTAAGATCTATCCACGTACCAAACATTTTTTAGATCGGACAATTACTTAAGAAGTTATTAAGAAAAGTTTTCGTAATATTGTAATTAATAATACTAATTATGAGATATAATCTAGGAATTTTGTTAAATTTAATTCGAAATTTTTAAATGTTAAAGAGAAGCTATATCTCAGAGAAGAAAAGAATGTAACACAAATCAAGAAAGAAATAATTTTTTTTTACTATTAATTTCCATTTAATTTTCCTACCGTTCTTATGGCAGCTATATGATAAAGTGATCCGATTTTTTAAAAATTTATTTCGAAATTCAGAAATATTCCCAAGAGTATAAGGTAATATTTTAAAAAACACCGAAGCTAGAATTTTGTAAACTTTTTTTCCTGATATTTCCTATGGGAGCTATAAGATATAGTTGTCCGGCCGGTTCCGACTTATATCTTACCTGCAATGGAAAAAAGACTTTTGGGAAAGTTTCATCCCGATAGCTTAAAAAATGAGAGACTAGTTTGCGAAGAAACGGACGGACAGACGAACGGACATAGCTAGATCAACTCATCTAGTGATGCTGATCAAAAATATATATACTTTAGGGCCGGAAACGTCTCCTTCACTGCGTTGCAAACTTCTGACTGATATCATAATATAAAGATGGAGATGGCGGCCGCTACTGGCTCCACCTAGCGGCCATTTAATGTTTTGCTCATAACTTTCTAATGGATTGTCCGATTTTAAAATTGTCTTCTGAATTCCGATAGGTATTAATAAACCCAACAAAATAGAATTTAAGCTTCTACAAAATCTGTAAAGATTTTTCAGAGGCTGTACTCACCATGACGAAGCTGTAGCCAATCCAGAGACCCTCCCAGCCGTTCGGGCAGTCGGGCACCTCTATCGTCTGACTGTGCATGGCGATCACGTTGGCAGGCGCCTCACAGACAACGCAACGCGAGATGTACGGCCGGATTCCCTCGCTCTCCACGGGCATCATCGGCATGGCGGCGTTGGTGGTCAGCCAGAAGGTCTTGTCGTTGCGCGATGCGTAGTTGCAGACGTTGTTCTGTCCGCAGGACAGCACGGGCAGGGTGGAGAACCTGGGCACACAGGAGCCGGGGGAGCCGAGATCCTGGTTGTGGGCATAGTCATTGCCATCGACATACAGCAGGGAGTAGCCTGTCCAGAGTTCCGTGTGTCCGGCGACGCACGTGGGTATGGTTTCCGATTGACTGTGACGCGCCACCAAAATGCCGGTGAGATAGTCCAAGGCAGCATTGCACTCTGCTCCGGGTTCTCCCTTCAGACCGATCTCACCAATACGACCCTCGAATCCGCGCTCTCCCTGCTCGCCGCGATCTCCCTTGGGTCCCTGACGACCCACACTTCCGGTCACTCCAATCAGGCCATGCTCACCCTTCTCGCCGCGCTCGCCCTGGATGCCGATCAGGCCACTTGGTCCCGGAGGTCCGCGCTCGCCCTTGGGTCCATCGAGTCCCGGCCTACCAGGCTCACCCTTGGGTCCCGGTGGCGGCAGCAATCCCGGTTCACCCTTCTGACCCGGCTGACCTGGCAAACCATCACGTCCATCGCGTCCCTTCAATCCAATAAAGCCACGTTCTCCAACTGGGCCAGCAGGTCCATCATTGCCATCCAATCCCGGGTAGCCAATGTCACCCTTTTCGCCGGTCAATCCAACCAGACCCGGTGCTCCCGGCACGCCCTGGTCGCCCTTGTCTCCCTTCTGTCCCTCGAAGCCGTTCAAACCACGTTCTCCCTTGAAGCCCTGCAATCCGCGATCTCCCTTCAATCCCTGTGCGCCGGGGAAGCCATCCTGTCCTGGTAGTCCGGGGCTGCCGGCCAGACCACGGTCTCCCTTGATGCCAGCAGGTCCAATGGGTCCTGGAAGACCCACAAGTCCTGGCTCGCCGGCCAAACCGGGCAGACCACGTTCACCAACTAAGCCAGGTGCTCCAGTAAGACCTGGGTAAGGGTAAAGGATTAGTGAGCAATGGATACTGCAGATAATTTATTTTTCTATATATAAAACAGCAATGTGACTAGCGCGATAATTATAAGTCTGCACTTGTAGCGCTGGAATATAAAATAAAGTAAAAATTAAATAATACATAGTGGCTCTAGTCTATCAACCAAAAAAAAAAAAAAAAAAATGGCACTTCTTAATATTTGAAGGGTCAAAGCAGAGTTCAAGTCAATAAAGCTAGAAGGTTAATATTTTTCTTATTTTTATATGAATTAAAATAAAAACAAAAAAATTCATAGTGGCTCTAGGCTATCAAATAAAAAAAAAATAAAATTTGGCACTCCTTAATATTTGAAGGTTTAAAGCTGAGTCCAAGCTAGTAAAGCTAGAAGGTTAATATTTTAACCAAATTTTCTTCTTTTGGGAGAGTTTTAAGCAAAGAACTGATTTCACAAGAAGTTACCCCCAGTTCCAAATAGGTATATGTATCCACAAGACTTACGATTAGTTGCATTAGCAATATAACCTCACCTTGACGTCCGTTCCTGCCGGAGCGACCGGGTAGACCCTTCTCTCCCTTGACCGTGATTCCAGGATAGCCAGCCTCGCCGCGAGGTCCAATATCGCCCTTGGGACCCTGGAAGCCGTTCAATCCATTGGCGCCAGGTGGTCCCTGCAGGCCGCGTTCGCCCTTCAATCCATCGCGTCCAGTCAGACCGGTTTCTCCGATGAATCCCTGTTCGCCCTTCTCTCCGGTGAATCCTCGCTCGCCCTGGGATCCCTTCTCGCCCTTCTCGATCTGAACGGCGGCCGGAAGACCAGGTTGACCACGTACACCACGCTCACCCTTCTCACCGGTGGCGCCCACGAAGCCCTGAAGTCCGGCGGGTCCAGTGGCACCCTTGAGTCCATCGAGACCGGCTAGACCTTGGTCTCCCTTCTCGCCGCGAACACCAGGATAGCCAGCAGGACCGGGGGCACCAGCTGCGCCGGGCAGTCCATCGAGGCCAGGAGCACCGGGGGTACCGGGAGCTCCCACATTACCCTTGTCTCCAGTTTGGCCCCAAACGCCCTGCAGTCCTTGGTCGCCCTTCTCGCCATTCAGTCCATCGCGTCCATCGACGCCATTGCGTCCGGCGTCTCCCTTCTCGCCCTGCGGACCAGGACGTCCGTGAACGGGCAGACCGGGCAGACCCTTCTCGCCGGGCCAACCAGGCTCTCCAGCTGGACCAGTGTCGCCTCGAAGTCCGGATAGACCGGGCTCACCCTTTTGTCCCTTCTCGGAGGCATCGCCAGGCAGACCAGGAGCTCCATCCAGACCGGGGAATCCTTGGGCACCCTTCTCGCCGGGCAGACCGTCCAATCCCGGATGTCCGGGGCCACCGGCCACGCCTTGGTCACCCTTCACGCCCATCAAGCCAGGAGCACCTGGGGGACCACGTCCTCCCACAGGTCCATCGTTGCCAGTCAAGCCATTAGCTCCTTTGTCGCCCTTGGCACCTGCGAATTGAAATAGGAAGAAAAAATATAGGGGCGAAAGTCTTTTTTTTTTTTTTTTTAAGTGGGATTTCGATTGAAATGTGTGGGATGTATTACTTTAATTAATTATATTATGATAAGAACTTACGGAAAGAAAAATTTAGCGGCGATTTTAGATTTTTTTTTTTTTTTTTGAGTGGGACTTGTATTGATATGTGTGAGAAGGTATTTCTTTATTTTATTATATTATTTTTGACATGATATATAAGTTATTAACTTACGGAAAGAAAGATTTAGCGGCGATTAAAGATTTTTTTTTTTTTTGTAAGTGTGATTTTGATTGAAATGTGTGGGATGTATTACTTTAATTAATTATATTATTCATGATAAGAACTTACGGAAAAAAAATATATCGGCAATTTATTTATTTATTTTTTTTTTTTGAGTGGGACTTTTTTTTGGAAGTGGGACTTGTATTAAAATGTGTGAGAAGGTATTACTTTATTTTATTATATTATGATAATAACTTACGGAAAGAAAAATTTAGGGGCGATTTTTAATTATGATTTTTTTTTTTTTTTGTGAGTGGGATTTTGATTGAAATGTGTTAGGTGTATTGCTTGAATTTATTATATTATTAATGATAAGAACTAACGGAAAGGAAAATATAGCGGCGATTAAAGAAATCTTTTTTTTGTGAGTGAGAAAAATTTAGCGGCGATTTAAGATTTTTTTTTTTTTTGTGAGTGGGATTTTTTTAATTAATTTTTTAATTTAATTTAATTTATTATAATTCCTCATGATAAGAACTCACCAGTTACTCCGGGAATACCAGCAGGTCCGCGCTTTCCGGGAGCACCGGTGACGCCGGGGAAGCCCTTGGGTCCATCACTGCCGACTGCGCCGCGATCTCCCTTGTTGCCGGGCATGCCGACCAGGCCAGGATTGCCGGGCTCACCCTTGGCGCCATCACGTCCACGTACGCCGTCAATGCCAGGAATGCCAGGAGGTCCGGCGACGCCGGGTGGTCCCAGTGGTCCCACATCTCCCTTCTCGCCCACGGCTCCAGGACGTCCGGCCACGCCGGGCAGACCAGCATCGCCTCGGTCGCCGGGATAGCCAACGCTGCCATCGTTACCGGGTAGACCAGGAGCACCCACTGGTCCGCGATCGCCCTTCTGTCCAGTGAGACCAGTGAGACCGGGAGGTCCAACGGGACCAGCCACCGAAATGCCAGGCTCTCCCCGCAGACCGGGTTCTCCATTGCGTCCGGGGATTCCACGGAAGCCATCCTTGCCGGGATTACCGGGAGCACCGACGGCTCCCTGGTTGCCCTTGTCACCGCGTGGTCCGGTTAATCCGCGAGGTCCCTCGAGGCCTGCAGGTCCCTGGGGACCAGTGTCGCCCTTGAGTCCATCGAAACCTTGGTTTCCCTTCGGGCCAGGTGCACCAACAGGTCCCGGCATTCCAGTCTGGCCGGGCTCACCCTTGTTGCCCTTGGCGGGCACTCGGATCTCAGCGGCGGCACAAGTACCGGGCTCACCCTTCTCGCCGCTGAAACCGAACGAACCCTTGTCGCCCTTGGCTCCGTTAAGTCCATGGAAACCGGGCTCACCCTTGATGGAAACGCCGGGCAGGCCGGGTGTACCATCACGTCCAGCGCGTCCGGGTCTTCCATCAATGCCGGGAGCTCCAGACAGTCCCTTGTCGCCCTTCAGGCCGAACTCTCCTTTGCGTCCCGCTGGTCCGGGAAGTCCATCATAGCCGCGTTCACCCTTCACTCCGGGGGCGCCAGCCCATCCAGGATTACCCTTCTCGCCCTTGATCGGTTCAATGAGGCTCAGATCGGCAATGGCCGACTCACCGGGCGCTCCATCGGCTCCGGGCACTCCCGTTTGACCATCCTCTCCCTTCTCGCCAGGCAGTCCAGTTTGTCCGTTGATGCCATCGTGTCCACGTTCGCCGGGATAACCACGCTCTCCGGGCGGACCGCGGGCGCCATTGCCTCCGGGAATTCCGGCCAGACCGCTCGCACCCTTGTCACCCTTCGGTCCAGCTCTGCACGACGAGCACTTGCCGCCGACGTCACCCTTGATGCCCATGTCTCCCTTCTGGCCAGGAGTACCGGGACGTCCGGCATCACCCTTTTGACCAGGAGCTCCAGCCACACCGGGGGCACCGGGACGGCCCAGTTTGGAGTCGCCGGGAACACCAACGTTGCCCTTGAAGCCGCGCTCTCCCTTGCTTCCCTTCTGTCCGGGATAACTGGGGGATAAGACAAATTTTATGTTATTCGACGAAAGGATTACATTGCGAAAAGTTTACTATTAGCAATCTATATAAATTGCAAAATCGGGGGAACTCTAACTAAACTCTAAAAAACTCCGCGCAAAAAGTAAGAACAGTTTGTTACATCTGGCGCCCAACGTGGGGCACGAACCCTTTGATATCCTCAAATACAATTCTCACAAAACATTAAAATATTAATAAAAATGTATCTAAATTTTTAACTTTATCAAACTGAAGATATAGGGACTTCGAAATTACTTATTTTGGGTTATCCCAAAACTATTGGAGCACAAAGTGAAATGTGTCTATTATAACTTACCCAGAAAGTCCTTCGTCTCCCTTAACTCCAGGAATTCCAATTCCGGGCAAACCGGCTTCACCCTTCTCTCCCTCCGGTCCCGGTGGTCCTTGGTGTCCAATGGGTCCAATCGGGCCCTGGGGTCCATCAAGTCCTGCGGTTCCCTTGTCTCCCTTCTTGCCAGCTGGTCCCTCGTTGCCTGGTCGTCCGGGCAGGCCAGCGCCTCCCTTCTGTCCCGTGTAGCCCTGCGGGCCTGTCTGTCCATCAGCTCCGTTCAATCCCTGAGGTCCGGGTGCGCCGACATAGCCGCGAGGTCCTTTTGGTCCTGGGGCTCCTGGTGTTCCTTGGCCACCGCCTGGCGGTCCCGGAGGACCGAGCAGACCCTGTTTACCCGTCTGTCCCGGACGTCCAGCCTCACCCTTTTGTCCGGCATTACCGGGCAGACCATTTAGGCCCGGCTCACCGCGATCTCCCTTTTGTCCGGCAGGTCCTGGGGGTCCAAAGTTACCTGGGCGACCCTGTGATGGGAAAGCAGAAAGTAGTTACTCACAAACGAATTCACAGAACAGAACGTTCTTAAATATAAAAGAAAGGTGCTCTTTAGTTTCGATTTTGTTGTAAGGATCTAGATGTTACTTTCTGAACAAGGATGCCTTAAAGAAAAGTGGAGAGCGGAAATAAGCGAAGCTCACATGCTCTCGATTTAAAAATTGGACATCTAACTTTTATGAGAAAAAACGTCCTTAATAAGAAGAAAAGTTGTTTTCAAATCGAGTAGGATTTTGAGAATTTGCAATGGGATCACTTTTAGAATGCCTTAAAATAAATTGGAGAGCGGAAATAAGAGAAGCTCACATGCTCTCAATTAGAAAATTGGGCCCTCACTTTTATGAGAAAAAAGTCCTTGAAAAGAAGAAAAGTTGTTTTCAAATCGAGGACACTTTATATATATTTAAATATAAGATTGGATCGAACCGGGCGTGGAAGAGGTCTCACTTTTGAGAAAGCTTTTTGTTAAGTTAATACTAAAGCGGAAGTGTACTTACGCGATCGCCTGGGTGGCCGAGTAGACCCTTCTCGCCCTTCTGTCCATCGAGTCCAGTCTCACCTTCCGGTCCGGCCTCACCCTTGCGGCCCAATGGACCGGGCTCGCCCTTCTGTCCCTGATCGCCACGGTCTCCGCGCAGGGTGATCGACGGTGTGAGTGGTGACTGCCCTGCCGGCTCACCCTTTTCGCCCTTGACACCCTGGGCACCGGGTTTCATGGGTCCATAGCAGGAGGCACCCTTCTCGCCCTTTGCGCCGTGATCACCTCGAGGTCCTTTCGCTCCATACGGGCCGCTATCACCGCGCTCGCCCTTCTCGCCGGGGAAGCCCTGGGGTCCGGCCAAACCGGCTGTGCCTCTCCAGCCGGGCTCACCCTTCTCGCCCTTCGCATAGTCACCGTTCTCCTTGGCCGGCTCACCCTTCTCGCCCTTGCCGCCCATCTGGCCGGCATAGCCACGGGGTCCCGGCATTCCGGATAGACCCTCCAGACCGTCCAAACCATTCTCGCCATCGCAGCCGTCCTTGCCATTTAAACCGGGGGCACCGGGATTGCCGGCAGGTCCCTGGACACCGGGCACACCGGCCTGACCATGGAGACCCGGCGATCCGCGCTCACCCTTGTCGCCGCGAACTCCATACGGACCCGGGTCACCCTTTTGGCCCTTGTCGCCCAGCGGTCCCTCCAATCCCGGGTATCCGGTCTCGCCCTTCGCTCCTGTGGGTCCCACGGGTCCCGGAAGACCCCGGTTGCCCTTCTCCGCAATGCACTTGGGCACACAGCCCGCATATCCGGCCGTACAATTCTTGGGCAGCGGCTCACCGCGCTGCTGACCGGCGGAGTCCACAATTTCGAAGCTGGGGTCAATGGGGTTCCTGGGATCGTAACGATTTTGGTGCCTGGCCGACTCCTGGATCGAACCGGACGTGCCAGAGGTCTTCCAAAATTGCTAAGGGAGATTATGAATACAAGAGTAGAGTTAAAAATCCGAATGGATTATGGGGTTTTTGGATCTTACAGCATCAGCAGTGACTAACGCTCCCGCGATGACAGCGGCGTACAGCAGCCTGCAAAGAGAAGATCGAAGGAGATCGGGGGGTTAGGAACTGTGCTTCTTAAAAGCGATCTCTCTTATCAGTCTAGTTTCTTGTTGTTGCAGCTCTCTTCTCTCTTAAAGTGACAGCTCTTTCTTAAGCTATCAGTGGAAGAGAATCTTCTAAGAGAGCAGACTCTTTCCTAAGAGAACTCAATATGATCTTGGCAAATTAACGGATATAAGAGTCTACAGGTGGGATTTGGAAAGCCGTTTTGGAAAACTTTTAAGTTTTTATTAAAAAAAAAACAATTACATTTTAAAATACAACATACAAAACAATTTTTTCTTCAGAGTTTTAATAAAAACTATTGAATTAATGAATATTGAAATATTGTAAGTGTTTTAAATATTAAAATATTTATAACACATTTCTTTTTAAATATTTGTATTTAATAAATGTTTTAACTTTTAATAAACTTACACGTATTTAAATGTTAAATTTCTAAGTAAAAAATTACTTTTTAATTTTCTTCGTCAGGTTTAAGTCAGCTTATTTAAAAAAAATTGTTCATTTAATCATGGTTTCAACAGAACTAAGGATTCCCTAATTTAATCGTTCCCTTTTTTTGAGACCATTTCATATTTTCTTTATGTATTCAATTTTTTAATTCAAAATTTTGTAAGGGGTTTATTTGATATATCTAGGAGTATATCTTCACTTACCGCTTCCAGAAGGGCAACATGATGCCCTATGCACTTAAACCTGCACAATAATTTTCTCGGTTCTCGTCGAATATTAATTTATATGTTGCCGTCGTTGGGCCTGGAAAGATGAGCCAGAAAATTGGGCACTTTAATTTCGCAACAGTTGCAGAATAATTTCAAAGAGTGGCAGTTATTTAATATTTGTGGGAAAATCAAGTTGCTTTATTTTTTATGCTTGTATTTCGTTTCATTTTTAAGGTCCGAGCTTGAAGGAACATTTCATTTTCACGTTACAGTTTGAGAAGCACTGGAGCTGGCACAACGCTCGCTTAAAGATTTGGTGAGCGATCTATCTACAGGTTTTTTAAGCGTTTTCTTCTGCTTTGATTTAAATATTTAAATTATATATTTTTTAAAATTTGTTTCAAGTTCCTTGATGGACTCCTAACTAACTGGCGGGTCAACGGGACCCTACCAAAAGTTCACAGCCACAACCGAGCAATCCGATCCGAACGCACGGCACACACCACTCAGCTCCACAGAACAGACTAAAGAAACTAAAGGCAGTTGGCCAGAGGAGCTCTGGAACGAGCCCAGTCTACTACTTACTCGGGGAGACGGAACACGACTAATTATAGTATAAGTTCGAGCGATCCAAAAGCCCAAAGCGACCGACGATTTCCCGATCTCCGATCGTCGATCGTTCGGCTTTACCCGATCTTCGCTCGGCTCTTTGGCTCACGTACACTATCCGTGTGATTGGATGGGCTGTGGATGGGATGTAGATGGGGGTGGGGGTGGGCAAATGGCATATGCCATATGCCATATAGAACGGATGGGCGACGGATCGTATGTAGCAACACCACTAATCCCAGCGGTTAACATTGTCGCAGCGGAATGAATGAAAAGTTGGTGATAAGTGTAAAAAACTAAGTCGCTGCTGTTGATATGCCACATGCGATTTAAGTTGCTCAATAAAACAGCAGCTTCATTCCGCCGGTTCACCTCCCCGGGAGCCACCTTCTACAAGCTCCAGCTTCCAGCTCCCAAGCTACCAAGCTCCCAAGCTTCCATCTCGAAATTAGCTGATAGCCCCCGCCCCAGAGATCGGGCACATGGCTTCCGTTTTTAATGCGACTCCTGCCTTTGGGACTACAATTTTCGGTTCTCAGACTGGGAATTTCCAAGGCTTCCTTATCAAGCCTTGTTTTTTTTTTTGGTACACGTTCTAATTATAGCCACATACAAATTTTGTTTGTTTTTACATTAAGTATTTTAATCAGACTTTTTGTTTCTTACAGGGCCCAGAATTTAAAGGATAACATATCATATTAAAATTTTTAGTTACATTTTGTTTGCGACGAAATTCTTTAAATTTATCTTTTAACTTTTCATATTTTGCTTTTACGTTTTTAGAAATGTTTTAGGGCCCGGATAATTTCAAAAATTATAATTCTTCTTCATGTTTCAAGGAGGTTGAAATTAAAGGTTTTTTACAGTTTCACCTAAGGGGCTGTCCATAAATTACGTAATCATCATAAAAATCACCAAAATTGTGATTACGTAAAATATGAACAGCCCCTAAGTTATTGAAATAATATTTACATACGTTTTACTATGATACAATAATTTAGGTTTAGTATAAATTTAAGTTAAGTTAAAAAGGTAAAACTGAGCCAATTAAAATCTCAGAAAGTCTGCTCCCGAATAGAGTAAAAACTATACAAGTTTTACAAAAATACATTTAATTTTAAATTCCAACATATTTTTTTTCGAATTAATCAATCAAGTATTGAGGCCACGAATACAATTTTCTTTCGCCTGTAGGTATGCAACTCTTTTTATGAACTTATTTGGTATGATATTATCTGATGCATAGCGTTTTTATTAAATTATACACATCATATTTTACTCAAGGAATAAGCTGAATACAAATATATTAAACTAATGGCATTAATTTTACAATGACAAAGTATCATTTATATAGTATTACGAATATTTTTTATAAAGCTGAACCTGAAAGATTATAAATATTTATTGAAAGTAAAATAAAAATCTTAGGATTAATATAAAAATGTTTTCAAAACATCTTTCATCTTGAAGAGATGATTATATTAAGATATTAAGATTTGTTAATCTAAAGACATTAAATTTTACATGATATAATATTTTGTGTAACAGCTGATAAAAACGTATTTAAAAAACAACATTTTTAGTAGCAAATTTCAATTAAAGGAATCTGATATTTTTTTCACCAAAAATTCTTTTTTATTAAGAAAAAAATATTTAATATCTATGGAAAAATATTTGAGCTGAAGAAGTGGGACACTTCCGATTATTGCAGAGCCTACAAAATCCGAACCAACTTAATCTCCGCAGCTTCCTAGAAAAGATCTATTGGGGCCATTGGGGCATATCCGACTGCACGTACGCTAGGACAAAAGAACTCTTTCCCAACTAGAACGAGGCCTTGATAGTGGTTCTATCAAGACATAGAATTTCAAAATGCTTTGGCCTCAAAACCTAGAACGAAGCTCAAATTTCGAAAGGTTCTATTTTGGTGTTTCTGCGTTGAAATTAATAGAACGTTAGGCCCGACTAGCTTGGACTCTTGTTCAGTAGTTCTAACAGGAAATACTCAGACATATCCGTCTTATCAGTTCTACATATGCCATATACTAAATGAAAAAGCCTTAACCTAATCAAAGCGCGACAAACAAACAAGCATCGAATTGTATTGGAACCACTAGAAGTTGAGTGGGAGTCTTGAGACTAGAATATACCCGGTAAAGAGATAAAGAGATCTTTAATAAGCAGAACTCCTCTGACGAAAATATGAGAGAAAATGGAGGTTATAAAGGAAATAAATAAAGTATAAATAGTCGAATATAGGCCCCAACTATTTTAATTTAAATCCTACAAAAAGTGTGCATAAATGTAATTCGAATGTTAGGTTTTCAACGCGAGTTTTAAGTGAATTTTCTTTAAATTTGATCCTATAAGGCTTAGAATTAATATACCCTTCTCCAGAAACTGAGAATCAAAATGGGAAATAGATTTTTATGCTTCAAAACGGGCCGCTTTGATTTGGTTAGCGGGCTCAACTCCTCATTTCCTCGTTTCAAGGCGTCAAAGTGCTAAATTCAGAGCCATACCATATAGAGCATATACCATATAGGCACGGCCATAGTTATGGGCACATCTACACCCAAAACCCACGTCCATCCGGACTAGTCTGTCCCTGGCCTGTGTGCCTGAGCGAACTAACTGCACCAATACCATCTCACTAGCCAGTTGCATGCGTATTGGTAGCCGATCTCTGCCGAGTCGAGACGATCGTGCCGAGCGAGCGGGCGAAGAATTCGAATTTCTTTGGTGGGGCTCGTGTTTAGTAATACTTCGAACGCTTGACGATCTCCACATGTGGGGAGAGTGCTGTGCCCGACGATCGCAGCAGCAGCAAATCAGCGTTTTCTGTTAGTTTCCCACAGTTCTTAAATATTTAACTCGTTAATGTTCGTTTTTTTAAAGAAATTTTAAAAATCGAAAATATATTAATTTCTTTATATTATGTCTATTTCGTTGGCAGTTTCGTGTGTGTTTTGAGCGAGAGAGTGGGAGAGAGAGGGACGTTTGGATTGGTAGGCCGCCAGAGTGAGACTTAAATAATTTGCGGATAGGACCAAAGGACCCATCGAAGATGTTACCCAGAGATCTACGGCATCTCTCGGGTCTGCTGGGCGCCGTTTTCATCTTCGGCAGCCTTGTTTCCGTAACATTGGCGGATGGAAAGGTAAGTGAAAACTAAGGAGTTGAATTTCAAATACTTTAATGAGTTCAAAGTAAAAATATTAAAAATTAAGGGGTTAATAAATATTTATTAATTTTGTAAAGCTGGAAGATTCGTAGAGTTTATTTAGTTTTCTATATAACCCATTAAAACATAAAGTTAAACAATAAATACCTTAAAAAGTACTTTTAAAATTAAACAGAGCTTAGATTTGTTAAAGTGATTCTCAAACTGTAAATACTAAATTAACATGTCGTGCTTAAAGATTACCATATAGAGTGCTTCTCAAACTGTATTAAATAATTTAAAGAAATCTTTTGTTAAAAGATTTCGTCTAATCAAATATTTCTAAAAACATTTTGCAAAAAAAAGAACTCATGGGTCCACCAATGCTTTTCAAACTGTCTTCATCGATTTCGCCTGCATTTTGTATCAACCATAAACAACTAAAATTAGGTCAGCTCTTAATCATCACAGCTATTGTTATTGTTATTCTGCAATATTGCACTCTTTTGATTCATTCACACTTCCGGCATGGAAACGTCGCGTAGTTGCAACTCTTTGGCTTTCAGCGATAATCCAATAAGTCTGTCCCTGATTTCTTGATTCTTGGGGTTCAATCGAGTCCATCAGCCAGCAGGGATTGGATTATGTCATTGAATTATTTTGGCTTAAGGTGAAAAGGTTTTGGGCGATAACGCCGTTTGATAACCCCCTAATCTTTCAATTTAGAGGACTCGGCTTTTTTTGGCATACCCATTAGGACTTCGCCATTGAACGTTTCCGGCTAGCAATTAAAATTAAATTTGGTAATAATGAGATTAGTCGTAAAATTAGTTTATAATCATTGCCAAAATGGGGCACGATTGAGATTGCCGAATCGTTCTGTAGCCATTTTTAAGAAATGGCAATGTCATGCACATTTTTTTCGTTGATAATTACATTATATTCATTATAATATAACCAAACAAGGAACATTTATGAGGCACAAGCCCCGATTTAAAATTAAAATGTTATTTAATCATAGAATTTCAATGATAATAATAAATATATTACAACCAAAAAAGGAACATTTATAAGGCATAAGTCGTAATTTTAGTTGGATTTGCGATTTAAATTACAATTTAACTTAATCATTATATGATTTTTTAATGGATCTATTTTTAAAATAGACGAGAAACGTTGCTTTTGGGTGCCCTAAAAACTATGCACCATTTTTTTAAACAACGAATTTCCCAATCTAGAGAATTGCATTAATTATATTTAATTATTCTGGTCAACTAGATGGTCAAATGGCATTTTGTTACGAAAATATTTCGAAAGGGTGGATTCAAAAATGGAGCGGCACCTAGTTTTCGATGGCATTCGGTGCTGCTTATCAGGCTGCGACACATTTAATTAGACCTATTGCTATGTTGGCGGCATTGACGCCATTGATAGCATGTTCCGCTGATTGCGACATGGATTCCTAGACTCGAATTTAGAAAAAATAGAACTGAAACACAAGTGTCGCCAGCAGGCCCAGAGGCTATCGGCTTGGCCTGACTTTTTGCCTTTGACTAAGTTAATTTAATATTTCTGTGTTGGATTGTCGGATTTTGCACTCGATTCGCTTTGGATCTGAACCTCAGCGCTCACGTGTTTGGCATCATAAGTGTGCAGCTCGTTTGACGACTTTGGTAATTCGACTCCCGGCTCTTTTCGCACTCGGTTACGTGGTCAATGCCATGGGTCTGGGATCCTAACTCCCCAGTTTCGAGTGAGAGCTGCCAGGTCTTGTGGGTTGCGAGATCTGGAAGATTAACCGCAAAGCGCTGAAAAACTTGACTTCTTTTTGCTACCGTTGTTCAAGTTACCCTATCGAAAAATGGGGTTTCTAGAATATTTGATTCTTTTTATTAAAGTTTTTGGTGAACAAAAGTTTAAAGGGGAATTACATTTCTCGCGAAAAATAGCTTGGCGATAAGAAAATGACTCAAAACATACATTGTACATAATCATTGCAGTTTTTACTTACTATAAAGCAACTCATTAAACGGCATTATCAACTAGGTTTTCTTTCTTTCAATATTTGAATGAAATCATAAAAGTTTCTATAATATGCACTCATGATTAGTAATTATTCATACTTCCTCTTCCTTATAGTAGTTTTAAAATATGCCGCTATCTCGAATTTGTGCAAAAAGTTACAGGAATTTAGCTGGGCTCAAAAGATTAGCAATTAATAAAAAACTTAAAAAAAAAAACAGTTTTTAAAAAATACTTACCACCTAAATTACAAAATATAAATTTTTTATTCCATTGAAACTAGAAAAACTTGTTCAATAACTTTCCAAACTTTTCAGTATTTTTGAAGAATTTTTAAAGGGTGTTTATCATAGCATCAAGGTTTTTAAAAACATTCTTAGCAGTTAATAGCATTTAGTCTGTGCCCCTCAAACTGTAAATGGGTTTTGCAACCAGCTTGGCGCTACATTAACCGAACAAATGATTTCCTTTTCCGTTAGGCGAAAGAGAGCCGATCATTTAAGAGCAGCTTGAATTGAAGAGAGGAAGAGTGTGGTGAGAGATGAACTCATCGAATGCAGCTGAGGCTGCTTTCCATGAATGAATTTTGATAAATGGTCTTTATCAGTCGGTACTCTCCTCCCACTCCCCCTCTAGTCCCCTCTTCCTCCCCTTCTCATTTCTCCTGCACTTGCTTTGCTATAAATATACATATGTATATGGAAATGCCGTTATTGCCTGCGAGTAAGTGTGCTATTGTGTGTGTGTGTGTGCTGTTCGATTCCGACAATTAGCAGCTCAAGTGATCGGTGAAGGGTTCTCTTGGAGAATCACTGGAATGATGGGATTCCAGGGGGTCAGGGGGGCTAAAGAGGGTAAAAAGGGGGAGGGCGGCAATCTTTTGACGTTCTGCACCATTTCAAATTGGAATTGAAAGTTCTTGGTGTTTGTTGTTGCTTCTGCGGCGGCTGCTTCTGCTTAGAAACTTCACTTATGCACTCGGAAAAACAAATTAGAGTTTAGGAAAAAATTTCAAAATAATTTTTAAAGTTGGAAACTACATTATGGGAATCTAATATTTTTATAAATCCAGCTAAAACTAAATTCTGTAACTATAATGTTTTTAAGTTTTTAAGTAAGCTTATTTTTAAAGAATAAATTTGTGAGATCAAAACGATATTTATTTAGTTTTCCGATATTTTGAGTTGAAGTACTGCATTATAGAAATTCCATATACTATAGTTGATTTTACAAAAAAATAATCTTTTATTTTTGAACCCTTACAATATTTTTGATCAAGGGCCGTTTTCTCGTCCGCCTGGTAAATTTGAAGTAGGGTTAAATCTCTGATTTCCCATACGATTTCAAGGTTTTAACCCTACTTTAAATTTAAGAAACGGACGAGAAAACGGCCTTAGTATTTTATTTTAGTAGTAGTTTATTTTAGTTATTTTGATTTATCTTACCCATGTATTTCTTTTAGTGCTTCAATTCCTTTTTGTTTTTGTTTATGTACTGGTCCTGGCTAAACTGACCCGAGATGCTGGCATAAATCACTGACCACCGCCGGCCAGACAGAGCGGGGCCAAATGGGGATGGAAATAAAATGAATATGAAATGGGTATCGAAGTGGGGATGGGGATCTAGATGGGTATGGGGATCCAACTGGAGAGAAGACCGCCCAAGAAAAGCAACAACTCGGACAACAATGATCATCATCTCATTGTTGGACTCCTTGTGGAAGTTTATTTGCGTGCTTGAGTAGAATTGTTTGGCGAGTTGCATTTCAATTTGACTCAATTATTTATTTATCTGCAACTGAATGCGGAAATTATGCGAAGTCTCTAAGTGTGTGTGTGTGTGTGTGCGATATGGACAGCATGTCGTATGAGTGATATGGGCAGGGGCCACTTAGTAGCCGCCTGTGTGTAATGAATTTCGTAAATTGAAACGATTATTTATGAGAGAGCCAGTGTTGAAGAAGCTCGTGAAATTGGGTTATCAGTCATCTGTCTCATAACTGCAGCTCGTTGTTCTCCTTTTCCTTTTTCTTTTTTTTTTCCAACCGCCTTATCAGTTCGGACACTCGGCTTATGAAATTGATATTCATCAGAGCATCTGAAATTCTATATGTACATATATTTAGACACTATATGGTATATATACTACATAGGTACAATGTATGATGTGCCCGCGCTACTGAGATTCCATTTCAGACGGCAAACATCTAGCGTCATGGCTAAAAATAAATTCGACTTAATTTGCTTGGTTAACTTTCAAGAGTTTTGATTGCCGCATTTATTTGCTGGCCATTGAGATGGTTAACCAATGGGTTAATGATTTTAAAACGATCTATAACTGGGAGAACTGTCGTTGAGACATGATTTTTTATGGGAAAATTATCTTTAAAGGACATTCGGAATAGGAGATACTGGAATACTGGCATCGACTAAAATAAATATTAAACCGACATTTATTTAAAAAGTGTATTTGTATGTTTGTTAAAAATTAGGATCATAAATTTTATTTTTTTTTAAATAAGTTCTACTGTAAATATTATAGATATATTCGGTACAAGATCACATAAAAGATAGGAAACTATAGGAATTTCTCTTTGTTTAATTGTAAGTCTATTAGTATTTTGATATTTTCAACCAATTATTAAATTAATATAATAACAATATTAATACAATTGAAGTTTTTTGATGCATAATATAGTTATATTAACAATGTTTCTGGGTTCAGAATTAAATTGATTGACTAATTTAGAACTCAGTTCTTTTGAATCAGTATAAAGTACATTTCAGGACAGGTGCAACCTGAGGCAATTCAATCACTTGGCGCTTCCTTATCGCCACTTTATTGGCGATCGTTGCGAATATTCAGTTGTGACAGCCCGCTGTCCATCAATTTCAATGTTAATTTGAGTGCAGGGCAATTAGTTATCATCTGTCAGGCTTGTGTCCAAACAATTATGTGCGATGATGCCGTAACCG